TAGGCACACTTCTAAAATATAAGTCCACGCACGTCTATGCATACATAAACTTATTCAACTTATTTGAATTGTTTAGTCTGGAGTTCGCGTATGTATTTTAATTTAAAACAAACTGCATACAATGTACTTAATTAAAGCATAAGATTTAAGTCTTTATAGACTATAGTAGTTATCTATTATTATCAACCCTTAGCATGTCTAATGTTTTAAGTTGGATATTGTACTCCATTAACTTACTGAATAAACACGGTTGTTACTCATACCCAAGATCAGAAAATTTATACTATTGTTAGTCGTCACCCTTCAACCTAAATCAAGAAAAAATAAAACCTGGATTCAAACCGTTAATCGAAATCCAAATAAACCTAAAACATAGTTTTCAGTCGGTAACCGAAACCTGTAAAAAATCAACCCAATGTCAAAATGAATGAATCACTGCTTTCAAATGTAAAATTTATTCTTCTAAATCCACCGTCTAACTACTATATAATCTAGTTGGTCAAATAATTTAGAGCTTAATAATATTTTTTTTTGTTTTTTTTTCATAAATGTAAATAATATGAAATGTTGAATAAGCTGACTAAACGTACATATTTTAACATACATTTTTTCAAAATATTTAAATTAATCAACTTTGAACACATACATTTTACATTTATGTAAAACCTAAGATCATACTTACAATTAAATTACTACGAATGCATTAGAAAAAAGTAATGAATTATTAAATTATAAAGATTGTCGTATGATAAAAAACACTGCATGAGGTCACTAAGTGAAATTTGTGAAGCTTGTTCAGCTGATCAACAGATCCTTAAGCATTACTACCACTGTAATTTTCAGAAAAAAAGCTACAAATGGCTATTTTTTTCAAATTTAATTGTACGCTAAAAATAGATTTTTAAGTTAATGACTTATATTTTTAACAAGAATCTCATTCTTCCTACGGTAAAAATGTCTATCTAAAACTATTATCATTTAATTCGCTGACTTAATGTGTTTTAGACATGATCTATAACTATCCTGAAAGATTAAGGAATGTTTAATAATTTGAGGCTCAAAGACCGATTATAAAAAGAAAATCTGATAACTATATTGATAGTAATATGAATAATGGATATACTCAAATGTCTATTTGAGGTTTAAAATCGCATATTATCCGTTCAACGCACTCGAAGTCGGCACCGCATTTGAATTTAATGGAAAATATTAGGAACAACGGATGTGCCATAAATAATGTTCTGTGAAATCGTAAAAACGTAATCATCTTGTTGGAAAACACATCAAGTTGGAAAAAATAAATCAATCCTAATGAAAAATCATAATCATCTCTATTTAAAATTATAATTTGTCAAGCCCGTTGCCAAGATAATCGAAATTTTTTCAATATTTGTTAATCTATGTTTAACGATATTGTTTGGATATGACATTGCGACTTAAACCGTTCCCATCCATAATACTCAGGTCACTATTAACGTATTTTCGATTTTCGTTGTATTGCGTTTAATCTTCTGTACACTTTGAGCAAGCCATTGTTTATTTTCAGTGCAATTGTGATGATTTTTCTGATTAGTAAACGAATACGTAAGAAAAATTGCGAAAAAAATAAACAACGCTTTGATATAAATAAGTATATTTGTTCCGATTATTTTCATTTAAAATATTTTGACACCATACCTATAATAATATTTCTGTAAAACAATATCAGAAGAATAATAATCTTATGTTGATAAAATAAAAATAAACTATTCACAATAAAAAAATTATGAAATTCAACAACATTTAAAGGAATATATACATTATACACAAATTGTACGTAGTTATATGTAGTATAGTACATATAGTAGTACAATAGTACATATAGTATTTTTCATAGTATTATGAAAAAAATTGATTTACAATGAACAAAGAAAAGCTACTTATGATGCAGTTTATACGAATAAATTATAATTACGGTTCGTAATCTATTATATATACTCATTATATTTTTCTATATAAAATAGTAATTCTTACTAAGATTATATATAAGTATTACTATATATATAGTATTATATTATTATAATTATTAAATATAGATATTATTGTCAAAAATAGTGGTTCCTATTTAAGAAAAATTTTATTTTTCCGCGCATGCGCTGATAAAAATAAAAAATTAAAATTTATCAAAAACAGATGTATTCATATGTTCTCTAACTTTTAAATTAAAAACACGGCATAGTCAATTCAGAGTTCTAAACATGACATTAGATGAAATATGTTTAAAAAAAATTAAACAAAATACTCATAATCATTGAAAATATGGTATAATATAGGCTAGTAATAATATTTAAGCTACGAACGATTGTTGTGTTATTATTTTTTAGCTAAAATTGTTTTAAGTATATATTTGAACCTAACTGTAACAGAATTGAAAACTGGTGAAATGCAATAAGATAATATTTAACACATAAATATTCAATAATTCTAATAAATTAGCAGAAAAACAAAACCGATGAAGCACCAAGAATATATATATTTTATTATATTAGTACTTAAGCTTATACGTAGAACGAAGTATCATACATTTGGTTAGTCTACGGATAAAAACTCAAATTTATTTATTTAATTAATTTTAAAAACCTCTAACTATTGATATTGGATAATATTTGAACAAATTTTAACGAATCACTAGTATATTGTGATAACCAATATTTACTTAAAATTATAAAACTCTTATGGAACCAATAGAACGAGCTGCATATTCTGATTTTCGATCAACAGTATCTAAATATTTCACCAAATGAGACAATATTTGGTGAGATTTTTAGTGCAGATAGTTAACACCCTGAAAAAAATGTTAAAAGAAACTAATCTATCATTATAAAATTAATACTTTCTTCAATCGGTACAGAATATATTACTACCGGATGCCAGAGTTTATGTAGCACAACTCTTTATTTCAAAACCGCATTTGTTAAAAATCATATGTATTATACACATAAATTAAAAAAATAAAAAATTAAATTAAATAAACAATAAGTAAATTCAAATGTTCATTCTTTTCAGGATGAATTATGAACTAGGTTATAATATTAGAAAAAGAATTAGTTACCACTTTTACGTAAAACATAATTTATAGTCAATAAGGCAAAAGGTTTTATAGTAAAAAGTTATCAAAATTAAAATATTTAATTAATATTCAGTATATAATGTTATAGTATTTTGGTATTTTTAAGTCAGACGTCAGAGAAACTTTATTTTCCATAGCGATCCGTTTCGGTTCATCATACATGAAATATTTGTCTCTAAATTAATATATAAAAAAGAAAACAAATAATGACACTATTTTATGTAAACAAAATCACAATCAAAATTCAAGACCAAAAATAAATATTAAATATTTATTATTTAAATCTGACGTAAACATTATTTTAAAAATACATAAACATTTATTTAGAAATATGATAATAAAGTGAACTTCGATACTTATCGATTGACAATGACAAATATAAGAAGAAATAAAAAAAATAAAAACCATGTTCCATAATATATGTATGGATATTATTCTAGATTTAATCAGATAATACATTATATTCATAATAATATATCGACAACACCTATTGTTTTATATTTCTGTTTCAGTGTTGACGTGAACATAAAATGTATATTTATTAATTATATTATAGCACACAGTTTTTGTATTATCGAATAGTGGCATTTAATGTAATAAGACATTTGAATAAATTTGATCCCACAAAAAATATCAAACTCTCACGCATGACAGAATGACAGTTATGTAGTTATGTTAGTTATGTAGTTCATTATTAAAACTTAATGTAATTAAATTTAAATGTATAAGTTAAAGTGCATACAATTTTAAAATATAATGTACTATTTACCACATATATATATAAAGTTTAGAAAACTAAATGTACGATAGTTAAAAATATACCAAAAATTGATTTTCAAATTATATCCAATTTTTATTGAATGAAAATATCGAATCCCAAGATTGAAGTAAAATAAAACGCTAATATTCTCAAAAAAGTTGAAAATATTCTTCCAATATATTTTTTTATATATTTTATTATTTTTATTATTTTTATTTTATTATAAATTTATTGTATTGTATACCACTGCATCATAAAATATCGAAAAATCAATACAATTTATCGTTATTTTCTCTAATATTCTTAATCATCCAAAATATTTTTTTATATAGAAATATTCTCAAACAAACAAAAACAACTTTTGCCTTTAGTTTACACTTTCACGATTTGGAAAGTTTTAAACTCCTATCCGAGTGTATAGAATAAAAAAAATAATATAATTCTAGTCTGCAATTATGACGTATATTATAAAGGTTATAATATAAACAGTGTTTATAATAACAGCAATGTTTTTATTTTTACAATCATGCGATGATAAGGGTATGTGGGAATCGTTCGAAATGTTTAGTTGATACCTACTGATTAAGTTTAATTTTCACAATATTTTAAAATTTTAAATATTAATCAAGTGCCTACATAATTTTTGGAAAAATATTCCTACTCGTAATCATAAAAGAGTATAAATTAAAAAACTAAATTTTTCGTAAAATTACAACTTATACATCATATTTAAATTAATAATTATTATTTTGAAACAAAAAAATTACAATTCATTATTATTTCGAAGTGTTTTTTGACTAACATTTGTCTTACATTTTTTTTTTTTTTTTTTTTTATATTACCGTATGTATAAAATTATTCCGTTATCATTGGCATAGTCGTTAATTATTTTACATATTCCATTCATTAAACATGGTATTATAAGTGATAAGACCCGAGAATATAATATGATAACATGCCTACCTTTAAAGACCTTTAACTTTGTCTTGTTAATATTGACTTAGCATTATCATAGTAATTATTGAACAGTTTCATACTACAAAAATTACCATTGTAACAAACAAAATTATATATTTAATATTTTTTCTGTTGTTTTCATATAGAACATATTAATACTATAATGTTTATTTTTAATCATTTTTTTTTTTTTTTAATTATAGGTGTTGATTACTTGATAATATAGTTGTGAACATGACATGTAAGTATTTTGATAGAATTAATATCATTTGATAAAAGTCTCAAATAATTTTAACGTAATAAACATGAAAAATTGTTAAATATTATTGTATTTTGTGAACATCGTCACTAATTTTCTTTCTTTAATCAACAATAATTGTTGCCACATATTATACAAATTCAAAATATAATACATTTTAAAATATAGTTTAAAACTTCTCTTTAAACTTCCGTTTTATGAACCAATCACTCTTATAGACTATGTTTTAAGAGTTTTTAATGAAATATGAATTGAAACCATAATTAGATTATCTTATTGGTTAATGTAAAATATTTAATCGATTATTAATATAAAATTGTTATCTTTTATTCTTAAAAATCATATATTTTGAATTTTATCTTCATTGCAATATTATAATGTTATTTATAAAATCCAAATATTTTTTAAATTAATTAATTATATGTAACACAATAGCAATAGTTAGATTTTTAAATTTATAATTTATTTTATTTTCATCTCAATTCGTATTCATGAATAAAGATTTTTAAACAATAAAAATATATTTTTAAAATTTTGAAATTAAACATGTTTTTTAAAAAAAAAATAGATCAAAAATAACAAAACTTATTTTATCAGTTTGTCATTCTATATTTTTCAGTTATTTATACTAGCGAAATAGATCTTTAATTTATAAATAAAATAGGTGACGTTTTTGAAAAGTGTCATTTAAGTATGATATGTTGCAACTTCAATTATTAGATAAGATAAATACTCTTCTTATTATAAAACCGAATTATTTGACTTGTTTTTGATTATAAAGATAAACGATAAAAAAAACTTCATTCAAGAAAATTGTTTTCGTTTTAAGGTTCTAAGTAATGTGCCAAAAGCGCAACATTCTAATAGTTTGGTAAACGTCCGAAAGCAATAGGTATGTCAAGTTTATTACAGTACATCAATCAGTCGGTTGAAAATATTCACCTAGTTAGTTTTTATCAAAAAGTTGATATCGTAATATCTTAACTACTGTCCAAACATCTCAATCGTCGCCGAGCTTAATTTTTTAAAGGGTTTGTTCGAAACTAAAAAACTACAATAGAATATTTCAGTTTTTTTGCTACAAAAATTATTTCTTTGTTTTAAAACGCCGTAAAAGAACACCATTTTTTTATTAATCGCGTAACAAATTATATCACATAAATCATAATACGTAGTGTTTTTTCATAAATGCACTTGAACTATCACCGGTAAACCGTTACCGTTACCGTTACGTGTCTTTTCAAAGATCCCAAGTTTTCGTATATGTTCGGCTGCGACCAAATCATAATATCTAAAAGTCCGCGACAATCACAATTATTTCTTAACGACTTCAATGCGTATCCTCACGTGTTATATTGTATCGAGGAATTCGTTGGAATAAACAGTGCAGTTATATAATATAGAATATCTAGACACATTACACCGAAGCTATTAAATATGGATTCCCGAATAAAAATAAACGTAACCGTCGCTTGTTTCGCTTTTTAACATTTACGGGTTCCCTGTTACAATAAATTCGTCGCAGGGTGTTAATTATACGGCAAGAATAGACACGCGAAACAATTCATACACGCACACCCACCTGCATTGTTCAATAAATGCGTGTACGGAACACGTGAGCACTACCCTACACCCTTTTCTTCGGAAGTCGAGACACGTGACACTTGACGAAAACCACCACCAGACGTCCCGATCGGGTCACGTGGCTTCCCGTGGTCTTCGTCAAAGTCACGAGGACCGGGTGGGTAGTAAGACGATGCGTGTGATCAGCGGGTGGGTAGTTCCCAGTTAGCCCCGAGACCGACTCGTTGCAGTAACCGTTAAGGATGAAAACGTGATTCTGCGGAAAAAACATGCGAGCACGTCCACTATAACGCGTTTGAACGATGAATCCGGTGTAGCTATGGATTTCGTCGTTCAGTATCACGTGGACCCATGGGAAACCGACCCGTACTGGGTTGGACATTCGTCTAGGAAAATCTCACGTGCACAAGTGTACACGGTTTTAATCGTGCTTGAAACACTATGACGGTCAAAACGCATGTAGATGGTTTTTTTAGCGATCGCAGATGACCCGTCGTTTGGCTCGGAAACCTACGAAATCATAAAACTTACAATAACGCGAGTTTTGGAAAGAGAATAAAAAATCAAAACAAAATATACGATAATATCAATATATTAAATAAGGTTTATTTTAATGGTTTTTTACAATCACACGATAAATTTCAATTTTTTTGAACTTTTATTTTTTATTTTTGGGCAGTTTCAAACAGTCGAAAAGCGTTCAATAAAAACAAGGTTTACGAGTAAAATTAAATTAAAAAATCCCAGTTATTAGATTATACTGGAACTGCTAGTACAATTAAATACACCGCTGGACGATCGTAATACATTTAAGAAAGCATTGGACATTCTAATATTGTTTTAATAATAATTTATAGTACATAAACATAACAACATTAACGGCATTAGAGATTCTTATAAACCAATAATGTTGATGTCAATTTAAGAAACATAGCAATGCGTGAAATATAATATTTAACAAAGGTTATTTAGTTTTTATATTTTGAATTTACTTAAGAATTAGAAAAACTTAAAAAAAAATAAATCTGGTAAACTGTTTCTCACCAGCTTTTTTAAAATATGCCGATTTTTTATTTTTAAGTGATATTCAATATTTATAGAATAATGACTTTCATTTAGAAGTATTTGACAAAAATATCGTTTGACCGACACCTATAAGTATTGATACTGTACTGCAAATATTCTACTCTTGCATATGTACGAATACATTTTAGTTACAAGTTATGTTTTATATTGCAAGAACAAAACGTTTTACGTAATTTAAATAAACAACAACAAAAAGTTTACCATTTTATAATTGAATGTGAACAAATATTTCGACTAACAATGATTTGTTTGTTTTTATTTTTTCTTTCTATGTGGGTAAAGTTTCTGAACATGTTGAGAAAGATTGCATAAAGAATTTTTTATGTCTTCCAGTGACAGCTGCTGTTTTCTGAGAAAAAAAATACAATAAGGAAGTGGAGTATATGAGCATCCTAAAAAATGTATAAATATCACGAAAGTTAAGCTCGTAACCACGATAATAAAATCCTGATTTATTGTTATTTATTTAAATACCTATATAAATATAACTAGCTAACTTGACAAACGTTGATTTGTCATATAAATTATTTCTAGAGAATGTTTGGCTAGAAAAAAATAATTAATTTAGTATAGGCATGTAAGGATGTGGGTAAGGATAAGGGTGTAAGGAAGAGGTATGGAGTGCTATGAACACTATGCCAATCTAATTGGAAATTGAAGGCGTTTAAATTGTATTGGCACATCTGTTGGTATAATAGGGATTCGCGGTAATAATATATTTTCACTTCAGAATTTGCCATTTAAAATGATGGTTTCGATAACATTTTTCATTCATTTTTTAACGACTTATTGCGTGCCGTTGTACAACCGTGGTGGGTCAAATTACGAAGCAAAATAACCGGAGATCAAACCTTAAATTGTAAATTATGCGGTGGCATGCCTAGTAAATTCAATGAGTTGAAAAACTCTGTTGGATAATTTACAGCTTTAGTAGCATCGCAAACTGTATCTATAGATTTATATGACACCAAGTCTCCTGGTAACAAATATTGTATCTTGAGATTCAATTCGTTGACGTCCATATTTTTTGCTACTAAAATTTCTCTTTCTGCCAGCCACTCATGATTAGTGTATTATCCGTGTACATTGGGAAATATCTTGAAATCATTGGGAAATATAATGAGAGCATCTTGCGAATAAATAATTTTGCAGAAATCGGTCGGTAATTTTATAAATCCCGTTTCATCTATAATAACTTTCCCATCTCCAATATCTAACAATTGTTTTGAAAATTTTCTGCACGCAGCTTTTTTTGATTGAATCGCAAGTATCGAAATTGTTCGCTCTCTTTCTTTACATACATTTCGACCATGAATTGTTGACAAAGCTCATGGCATCGTAGATAACATTATCCTGATCGCGTCTAATCATCAACCGATATGCATAATAATTGTTCGAACTAACATTCTTATTTGTTTTGGCATCTGTTGCGGGATCTTTTAGTTTAATATTTATGCAATACCCGTCATTTCATACCAAAAATAAAATTGATAGTTTTTAAATAGTTTTTTAATAGTTTCATTTAATAATTAATTTTCAATTGCGCAGTTATCGATCTGGTCAAAAATTATTAAATTAAACTTTATTTATTAAACAATAACACTTTTCCACAAATTTTTTTTCGTAAAAACTTTCTCCTGGCAATTACAAATAATTAAAAAAAATTTGAGCCAAATCGGGCCGTTCTCAATTGATGAAATATTATACATTTTTGGCTCCATTTTTATATATATAGATAATTAAAAACTAATTATTCATTAAATTATCGGTCTAAATTTATGCCTAAATCCTTCTCTGTGATGTCTTCTTTAATTTAAAAAAAAACTGCACGACGATCCAATTAGTAGTTCCAGAGTTTATCCTGAACAAAAAAAAAGTGACTTAATTTTATATAGTAGTATAGATATAGATATGTTTTTTAATTTTTTTAAGAAATCATGTTTATCGCGAACCCCATTCCTATGTTTACCCGCTGGTCTGTTGAAGTCTAATCACTACGTCATAGACTACCACCCAAATCACCCCTTCCAAATGTATCGCTTTGCACCGAAGCTTAGTCGCCACCCCTCATTATACCGGTGACTGGTGTGCTATATAAGTGGCCGATCGACATCCATTCAACGCACACGCGCCCGTATTCGGACTGAAGCAGAGCATCAAAAAATTCCAATTATCGCCATTTACAAGTAGGTAAAATTATCAAATAAATCTTACGGTTAAAAATCTATTTAATTATTGCTGACGCGTATACATAAGACTAATTAAATTTTTTCATAATTATTAGTTTTTTTATGGTTAATTATGCCTAACTTGGCTCTCTCATTCATAAATCTTTGTACCAATTATAAATATAGTTAAATTCTTATATTAAAAAAACATTATTTTTAATATTTGTATCATATTATTTATACATAAGCGTTGCATTTATTGTAATTTGATAAATTATAATTTATCAAACAAACATTTTTATATAATGATGAAATATTTTTAAATTTTGTTAGAACATATTCGTTAAATCCCCTTATTATTAAAATTGAAAATACTTAGTATTTTGTATTTTTATACATTAAATAAAAATAAAAAAATTAAAATCAATTAATTTGAGAAGTAGAAGTATTTGAGTATATAACAGGTATGCAAATTAATGCGATATGATTAAAAAATAAAATAATTCGAGGGTAAAAGATGATCACTGAATATGAAACGCTTCTCCACTTGATATAATGCTTTATAAATTACATTACTTTTTAATGTTTACTCGAAAACTAAGAAATTCAATATAAAAATTATAAGAACAGTTTTAATTTTTTATCACATAAACTAGCTGTATGAATTCAAACATTTAGTTTCTATATTCTGAAAACTAGAAATGTAATACTTTTACCATGTTGTGTGCTTTTTGTGTCAGTAGATATGATTTCGATTAGAAAGATTGCTCTGATCATCACCAAATCAAAAGTAAATGCTAGGAAATATATTTTATTTAATACTTTGGAGAGTCATTTTATGAATTTCCTAACGGTTTTCTTAGAAATCGGGAAAAACTAACGATAGCTTATTAAAAAAAAACCTGATAACATTTACGGCGTAAAATTCGATCAACATATTATTATTTTTTTTAAATCTAACAAAATGTTTTCAAAAATATATTCTTTATAATATCCGAGTATCATTGACACCAAAGCTTAAAAATCAATTCTTCAACTCATCTGACCAATCATCACAGTACTTGAATATAAAAAAAATATCCCTCTCCCACCTATGCACCAACTAGACTTCGAATCCTATCTTTTAATTTCACGATTGTGCTGATACTTCTGATTGAAATCGTGTACGCAGACCCATAAAAATACATACACACAAGGTAAAACCAGTACATTTCTCGTTCCCCTCGGATTCTAAAAAATAAACATAAAAGTATAATATTGTATTAAAACCGGCATTTAAAACTGTCCGACATATAACTGAAACGTATGTGATTGAATTCGTTTTTTTCAGGACCCATAACAATAGGGCCATCATGTCCATTGCAGTGCATTGGTTTAGAAACGGTTTAAGATTGCACGACAACCCGGCTTTGATTGAAGCCATCAACAATGCGGACAAGCTTATTACACTGTACATTTTCGACGAAGAAACATTCGGTAACCATAATTATACCACGCATAATGTTTTTGGTGCTGTATATACTGTACACAAATAATGTGTTTCGTATTGTATATACATAAGCTATGGACATTGTACACTGCCTATTAATTCATCTGATTATCCGTTAGACTTGAACGTTATGATATTACTAGTGATTTTAGAAAAAATGCCCGTTCGTCAATGCGTACTCGTGGCCCGTCATCGGAGATCGTTACACGGTCCAATAATAATACCTATAATCAAAAATATCCAAATTACTGAAACGCTATTGTATTAATAGACTAGTCAATCTAATTAAAAATATAGTTAAACCTGGGCAAAATTACAACACAAGCTTTTTTAACGGTTTTCAAATCTCAAATATGTCCTTGTTATTGTTATTTTTAGAAATAAATATTAGATATTATGTTTGTTATCTAATCATTTTTTACGACCGTAAAATCTACAAATGTATGAAGTTATTATCTAGCAGACGCAGTCCAACACATATTAGTACACCAATAATTCGATACATCATTACGTAAGTATAACAAATATTTTTACACATTTATAAAAATTAAAAATTAATAAACTTTTTGGTATGGCTTGGTTGCAAAAATGATCATAAAATACATTTTAAAAGCACAAATGTAATTTACATTTATAATTATAACAATTATTCTTAGGCATTTATTTTTATAATGACTACACTTCAAGACGAGTGCATTATATGTCAAAAAGTACTTGAAAACAAAGATGATTCTTTAATGAATTTGACGCAAAAAGGAGTGGATGGAATTAATAAAACCAGTAAAAGTCGTGAAAGTAATATTGTAACAACTGTCGGGTCTATTGTGCATATTAATTGTCGAAAGAGATTTACCGGTAAATAATAATTTATGCTTATTGTTATATTAAATTAAATATTAATATTTAAAGTTAAGTATTTAAATATTAACATACACGTACTAGAGCTAGTAAATAATAGTTTTAAATATTATAATAATATTATTAGTAAATTATTTTGACCAGAATAATGTGCTATGTAGCAATTCGTAATTTTACAATATCAAGTAAAAACCAAAAATGTATTGTAATTTCTTATAAATATTATAGGTCTGCTCGTAGCACATTCTTTCAACTTTCAACTTAATCAAAATTATATAATATTATTAATACATTTCTAATATATTAAAATAAATTTTTATTATACATCATGTCAATTTTTTACGGATAAAAAAAATTTAATTTATTTATATTAAAAAAACTTGTATTTTATTACCTACTTTTTAAATATTTACAAGAATAAATTTAGTATAAATATATATTATTCTGGCAATGACGTATAGACGTCACTATATCTTTACTTACTGTTAGGCGGCGACCAGGCTACGTACACGTTAACACGTTTTAACTATCAACGAATCGTGAGTTTCTAAGTTTATTCTCAATAAATTAAGTACAATAAGAATTATTATCTAAAAATTTTCTGATTCCATAGAATTCCATCTGCTTCATAGTACATTATTCCGCAAAAAAAAAATGAAATCCGAAAAAGTGTTACAATCCGGCCGACCCTGAGTTATTGATAATGTGCGAAAAGCTTCCCTTGTATTTTTTACGGATAAAAAAGATATTGCACTAAATACTGCTCAGATTGGTGTGAGTTCTAGCGGTAATCTGAAACGAAGTTCTCGTTTTCCTTCATGTAACGTATAATAGCTCATCAGATTGTCTATTTTGTGGTACGTATGTAAATTTTTGTACAAAAAATCAATCAAAAAGAGATAATGTAAGAGTCAAGACATTAGAATTCTAAAACTATAAAAAAATGTTGTGAGGAAAGTTTTAATCAATGGTCATTGATTGTCAAAGGCCAAATAGAATACCTTTCTGATTTACATGCTGCTGATTGTGTGTACCATCGATGTCGTACCGGAAAAAATATTCCCCAAGAATATTCAACTGCTGAAAATAAATCTAAGAAACCAAACGAAACTAATGAAGTGCAGTATGAAGCTTTTTTAAAAACATGTGTCTATTTTGAAGAAAATGATGAAGAACAATTCTGAATTTTCTGCATTAATGATTTAATATTAAAAATAGAAGAATATCTTCCATATGATCGGCGTCACATTAAGAGAAAGCTTGAAGAACATTATGGTGAACTTATTTACTATATCAGAAAAATGTGGATCATTAGATGCAGTAACTTTACGAGATACTGTTAATAATATCATCAGAAAGTATTATGAAAAACCCAAAGATTGTGACCTAGAATTGCAAAAAATTCAAATTATCGAAGCAGCCGCAAAATTGATTATGAGTGATGTAAAATGCATAGAAATAAAAAAAACAAATTTTTATTCAACAGTATATAATTTGACATCTGAAAATGCATTAAAGTACCTTCCTAATAGTTTGAAATTATTTTGTATCACGCTTTTCGTGGGCAAAAATGTATCATGTAAAATAAGTGCAATTGGTCAAAGTATCGTGCATGATGCTTTACATATAATGTCTGGGAAAACAGTATATAGAGCTATTCATGCTCATTTAATTGTAGACGCTGCCCTAAATATCCAATTAGCTTCTTATGTACTTAAATGTAATGAAGATGGTAGTGAAAATATTATTTATCAAGATATGAGTGATTTATAGAATAATGTGATTTTGGGTGACAAAACGTTAAAGGATTTAGAATATTCTACAACTTTAGATTAAGTTATTGATACTTTAAGTAAAGAAAAAGAAAAATTACTATTTTCAAAGCTGTGTAAATTGTAGTTTGAATATCAACGAATGATTAATACAATACGTAATCTCATTAGAGCAGATAGAATAGATTCATGGGACTTGCATTTAGAAGCAATAAAAAAGTGTCTTCCAATTTTTGCTGCATCAGGACATCATAATTACTTGAAATCAGCATATCTGTACTTACAAAATATGCTTAAATTACCTGTTCAAAATCCAAAAGTCTATGAAATGTTTAAAAACAGATTTAATGTTGTTAGAAGAAGTGATCGAAATTGAGCTGGGCTTGGTGCTGATCTTGTAATAGAACAGGTTTTAATGCGATCTCTTAAAACCAGAGGCGGATTAACTCGAGGGAGTGGATTTTCGAAAGTTCAGAGAGCTATATGGTTACTTTCTATGCCAATATGTTCTAATTATAATTTAGTGATGCAAGACTTTAGTTATGTGTCATTTACAACAAGTGATCAACATAAAGATTTTGCAGAATCAAGAATAACTAGAGACAACAATACTACTGGCCAGTATGTTTTATATGGTGGGTCAATATTATATCGTATTGTTTGACGTAAAAACACCACTTATCAAGATATTGCTACTATGTATACTAATTTTGTTATACAGAACTATGGAAAAGCTATAGTTGTATTTGATGATTATAATAATACTTCATCTGCAATTAAAGATATGACACACATGTGCCGAAGAAAATGTTTCCAAAGTGCATCTGTAAACTTTAACCCTGAAATGAAATTTACCGGACAAAAAAACATTTTTATCCAACGATCAAAATAAACAGCGCATAATTTTTTTAATTGGAGAAATGTTAATCAAATGTGGTTGTACTGTACATCATGCCTCTGGGGATACTGACATTGATATAGTAAAAAATACTATTTCATCGTCTAAAAACTGTACCACAACTATTGTAGGGGAAGATACAGATTTATTAATTCTGTTTTTATACCATGCAAAGAATTATAATTTTAAATTATATTTTCGTAGTAATATACCTCGTGGCTAATCCAAAAATCTAATTTACGATATCATTGATATGCAAGTATTAATTGGTAATGATATTTTTAAATATTTTTATTATTCATGCTTTTACTGGATCTGACACAACTTCAGAAATATTTAGTATTGGAAAATCGAAAGCATTGAATAAATTAATACACAATCATGAACTACAATCAATCGCAAAAATATTCAATGCTGATGAACGTTCAAATTTAGAGATTGAAATTGCTGGAAATAGGGCTATTTTAATATTATTTGGACGTAAGACATTTCAATCGATTAACGAACTTCGTCATCGAATGTTAATTGAAAAAGTAGCCCATGCAAAAACGTTTGTTGCACCTAAACGCTCTTCACCAACTGAATCTTCATCTAAATATCATAGTTATCGCACTTACTATCAAATAAGTATTTGGAGAAATACTTAGATGAAACTGGATGAAAAAATGTGGGGATGGTATGAAAAAAATAATTTATCCTATCCTAAAATATCCGATATGAAACCAGCTCCAGATTCTTTATTAAACATGATACGTTGTGCGTGTAAATCGAACTGTACTACTTTTCGGTGTAGTTGTAAAATGCACGGTTTATCATGTTCAACTGCATGTGATGATTGTCAAACGAGTAGTTATGACAATAATAAAATGTATAATAATCCACTGAATGATAGTGACGAAGACTAAAATTGTATTATTAGTATTTTTAATGAAAAAAAAAATTTATCATATTTAATTTTAATTTTTTGTTTGTAAAAATTATACAACAATAATCGTGAAAAATTTAATAAACTATTTTCAAAAAAATAAAAATGTATTATAAATTATTTAAAAAAATAAATATATTGCTCCTTATTTATGTTTTAATAGGCAATTTCAACTATTTCTCATGGTTGGATTTTTTCGAATTTTTAATAAGTTACCAAAGACATATTTGAGTTTCGAAAACCATTGAAAAAACTTGTGTTGCAATTTTGCCCAGGTTTTACTTCGTATTGACTAGACTATAATTATAATGGGTAATATTTAACTATTACTAACCCATTATCTATGAGTTATGATTAGAATAGAAATTGCACATCATTATTATTATTATTATCGATTGCATTGCGCGTTCTATTGTAGAATTATTTGATTTGTGACCGATATCGAACGTTTTAATTGATATACAACTTCCCATGCAAGGGCGTATTTGAAGGGATCGAAAGGGGCATTTGCTCCCCTCCCATGGCTCGTATTTTTTTTTTTTAATATAATACATTGATTTATTTAAAAAAAGTGATGTATAAATAATTAAGAATATAAATTACTAGTCTATAATTATAATATGATAATAAATTCATTAATATATAAATTTTATTACGGGTATCAACTTTTTTTTATCTTTTTATATCATAACATTTTTGGTTTGATTGATCATTATCTTTTTATATGAAATCATGCCCTAGTATTTTTCCAGCACCATCGATCTTACCGCGCAAAAGGTCAATGCTTAAATAAGATTCAGAAATAAATGTATATTATTAAATTACAACCAATATTTTTATATTCTAAACAAGTAAAACACTTTAAAATCGAGACACATTTCTAATGCCTCAAACAAATAAAAAATGTTAAATTCGTGATAGGTATTATATTATTTTTATTTATTTATTTTTTTTTTTTTTGACAATTCATTATAAAACTATTATTTTTTAAAATGTATCTGTTTTTATCTATATGAATTATAATTATCTATTATAAAGATAACTTTGGTTGAGCTTATTTTTATCTTAACCTAGATTAAAAATAATTATCTAGGCTCAAAACAACCTAGATAAATACATTGTACATAAGTATTATCATTTTACATGCATTCACTATTTCTTATAAATTTAATATAAAATAAATTAAGCTGTGACTGTTTTTTTTTTTTTTTAATTACACCGTCTTAAGGCTAAAAATAGTATTTATTTAGATGGCTTCATTCTATAATAATATAAAATTAAATACATACTCTCATTTATACATAAAAATGATAATAGCTATTAAATTGAATACAATAAATAATTTTTGAAATAATGATGAACATTTTTCATTCGTTATATTTATTTAGTTACGAATTTAATCGGTTTTAATCCAATGCGTTTCCTTCTGGAAAGCTTAAAAGATTTAAATGATACATTGACCTTGTACGGAGGATGTTTGTATATATTACAAGGAAATCCAGTTAACGTATTTAAGGAAATCAAAGAAAAGATTGGTCTAGATGTACTTACTTTTGAGCAGGTAATGCATTTTTTCGAAATAAATATTATAAAATCGAATTTGAAGTATTTCTCTTTAATGTTTAGGACTGTGAACACATCGGAAGAGTTCGTGATAGTAAAGTAGTTCAATTTTGTCAAGCAAACGGAATTAATTGTATTGAAAAAGTATCGCACACTCTATGGAATCCAAAAGATATAATCAAAGAAAATGGAGGACAACCTCCGTTCACTTTTAAACAATTTCAAGTATGTAGAATTCAATATTAAGTACATTTTTTTCTGGTTTTAAATATATTTTTCATTATTCAGGTTATTGCAAAAAATATTGGTCTTCCTCCAAATCCGATGATGAATGTAGATTGGTTGAGCGTAATTTTTGAAAAACTTCCAACATCAATTCTCGAAAAATTCAAGGTATTTACATAATGTGATTGGTAAAATTGATACATACCTACAAATTAATAAATAATTCGCTGGGATCTATATTCCCACCAAAAAACTTATAGCCATTTTTCCAATCCAATTATACACAAAACAACTATAAAATCTAACCTATAACTGAGTTTATTGGTTTTTAGGCTTTAGAAAATCCAACGCCACAGACCTTTCACATATATCCAGAAAATATTTCCGAAGTTGGTGAGAGTTCTTCTACTTACCATTGGTACGGTGGTGAAACCAGAGCTTTAGAACAGTTAAACGATCGACTTGTGTTCGAAAAAGAAGCATTTATTTCCGGATTTTACCTGCCTAACCAAGGAAGTCCTAACCTTTTGGGGCCACCATCTAGTCTTAGCGCTGCCTTACGATATGGATGTCTATCCATAAGGAAGTAATAGCGATAATAAATATTGATAAGTTCAATAATATCAAGTTTAAAATGAAAAAAAAATCTACTGTCAACATTAACTACTGTTTATAGGCTTTATTGGGAACTTTCCAACCTGTTTTTGCAAACATTTGACGGAAATCTATTGCCGCAGTATAGCGCCACCAGCCAACTCATTTGGAGGGATTATTTTTACACCATGTCCATAGACAACGAAAACTTCGGCCAAATAGAAGGCAACCCAGCATGTCTATCGATACCGTGGAACGATATCAATAACGAGGAAAACAAAATTATGTTGGAATGTTGGAAAACCGGAAGGACCGGATACCCTTTTATTGACGCCGGAATGAGACAACTGTTACAGGTAAAGGAATCATTTTTCGTTAGCGATATTCTAATTTAACGAGTCGTACGAAAATAATCCCGCGTCATCGGTGCAATTGGAAAGGACTCTGAAGGTGGGCTTACCCTTCCCAAATATTTTCATACCCCCCCCTAAATGAAAAATAATGATCCTTAGGATTTTTATTCGTGTTTGAGTTAATTTTATTCGGTACACTAAATAATTATTTAATTTGAAAATTCCGAGTTTTATATCACAGATTATTTTAGCTTTTATTTATCTAATAAATATTTGAGTGTAATAGAGTATAAAAGTGGTTTTTGTGCTTTATTTTTTATTTTCAACCACTTTTCTATGATCTATGTTCTTAATTATGTATAATTTTAAGCTATAATCCAACAAAAATGTGAACTAATGGTAAAGATTAGTAAAAGATTGTAATAATGTAATTAATAAAATGAAAGTGTGCAGTACGTAACCCCTGCAGATCTATTTGGGCTTGATACTTTAATTTTCCACTACCTTCCCCAATTTAAGCTCTAGTTACGTCTATACCTTACGTGTATAACATTATTGTTGTTGTTGTCTATTGTTGTGGTCGTTATTCCTCTTCAGGAAGGATGGATTCATCACGTGGTACGAAACTCAGTGGCATGTTTCTTAACAAGAGGAGACCTTTGGATTAGCTGGACTGAAGGGTTAAAACATTTTTTGAAATATTTGATCGATGCCGATTACTCAGTGTGCTCGGGCAACTGGATATGGGTGTCAAGCTCCACGTTCGAACAGCTGCTGGATTATCCGCTGTGCGTGTGCCCAGTCAGTTACGGGCTAAGACTCGACCCTACGGGCGATTACATAAGGTAAGAACGCCGTACCGGTTTGTTATGTATTGATTATTGTTCGAAAAATACACCCAGAAAATTGCCCGATTCCAGACGTTATGTTCCGGAGTTGAAAAACATGCCCAAAAAGTACATATACGAGCCGTGGAAGTGTCCAGAGTCGATTCAGAAAGAAGTGGGATGCATCGTCGGCAAGAACTACCCGAACCGTATTATTGACCATGTGACCGCATCGAGGCTAAACAGAAAGGTGAGCACGAATCGACCACTATACCCGCCCGCGATAAACGGAGTGTGCCCCACGTAATGTTCGTAAAACCACGAGGTGCCGGGATTTATGAAAAAAAAAACCCCGCAGTCGACACGTTAAATTACACTAACCGTTATGTACCTACATCCCCAGTGCTGGACTGAGTGGTAGTGCACCGGGTTCTCAAGTTTGATGCTCGATTTCCTTGATAAAATAAAAAAATACATTGCATTTACATTACAATATGTTAAAAATGTTTTACTTACCGAGTATTTAATATATTGGTCTACTAATCATGCGATTTCTGAACAACATTATAAAACTGTTCGTTAGACATTGATTTTAATTGCAACTCATTCGAATCGTAATTATTTCATTATAATGTGTGTCTAACACAAATCACGTTTTCTTCTGAAAGGGCATTACTTGATATGAAAAAGAAAAAAAGTAAACAGCTTTTAAAATTATAATTTATAATATTTAATCCAATTAACTATAAGTATATGATAAATGGTGTTTGACTTAATTGCAGAAAATACTTGCGCTACGAAACTCTATGTCCATGGTACCACATTGCCGTCCTTCAAACCAAGAAGAAGTTCAAAAGTTTATGTGTCTGCGTGAGGAGTGTATGCAACAGTTGTATTCTAAGGAGTACCAGGATATCGACTCCTATGAGTACTTCAACTATCAATAATCTACAAAAATAGACAATCACACTTCCTCTCTCCCAGCACACGGTGCTCGGTTTCCGTTGGTTTCTAAATGAATTTCATTTAACATGTATTTCGTTGAACTTGATATTGTACTTTCGTAAAATAATAATTGACTTATAAAATCGAAACACTAATATTTTCTCTGCGCGCATGAACATTATCGATGAATTTGTTACTTACTACTGACCAAAACTAGTAACTTCCACGTATTTTCGAATCATTATTCTTAATCGATAGCATAATATTTATCTTAAAACATAGATTAGTAAGTTAATATAGGTAAATGTGATATAATTATACGATATAGTATAAAGTAAAAATATTATACACAACTATCTAAATATCCGAGGTTGTTAAGCTATGCAAAGAGGTTTTTGTACAATTACAATTTTATGACTAATGTTGTTTTTGAAATGACCATTGCTTCGCTATGTTTACTGTTCAACATCCATTATAGAATCATTACGGTTTAAATTTCAATCACTGAACGACACGATAAATTCACTGTGATACAATACTTACTCAGTACAAAAACATGCAAGTCAAAAACTGTAAACACAATATCTTTAATTAAGTAATATAATTATAATCGTTCTATCATACTACTAACTATTAATAACTCTTCTAACTCTTTTACTGTTTATAAACAAACTCGCACTATGAGTAAATATTTACATATATGTAAATATATATAACACGTATTATAATATAATATAATATTACTAAATATTTATAATTTTTATCAAATAACAAGAATCAAAAAAAAACTATTTATGCTATCTAAGATTCTACTTCATCACTAAAATACTCATAACCAGGGTTCGTACGTTCATTCCCTAAAATATGCCTAAATAAGCATGCATTTATGCACTTAAAATTGACAAAATATGCTTTGAAATATGCATTTATATGCACTAAATATATAAAATTATGCATTTAAAAAATGCTTACTTAAAAAAATCATAAATAATTTTTGAAATAACATGAATTATCCATTAATTTTATTTATAGTTATATTTTATTTTTTATGTCGCAAATAAAAAAAAAATAGATTTTAAATACTATTTAATTCTATTCTTGCGCCTTCGTAAACTGCGTACTCGTGTACGTCCTTGTCAGTAATTAATTTTAAATCTAAAACTTTTAAACTTTTTAAACAAATTTATTCATTAAATATACGAGTATCAAGAAAATAAGAAAAGATAATACTATTTCTATTTTTAATTATATATATATATATATATATATGTATATTTTTCCTTTTAGATTTTTGATAGATTCTAATATAATGTTGTATAATATGCCTGATAAAATAGAAATATGCATAAATATGCAAAATAAGATTTCACATATTTAACCGTGGTACCTTGTAATGGACTTCTATGTCATCTAGCATTAAATACAACTTTGCAAGATTGATTGCAAAGTTATATTTAATTTATTTATTACATTATTGCAAATGCATGAAATTACGAGCCATGCTCATAACTTATATTAAAATATATAAATAATTTCATTATTCACGATTTTAAATTTTATATTGTGAACTTACCAATAATATATGTTTAACACTTAAAATTAATATATTTTCACTTACGTATTACCTCCCACTCGGTCAATTTTAAGATGCCTGTCATCTATATGATATTAATCCGTTCTATTTTTTCGTCGTAAATGTCAATATCCTCATAAATACACTCTTAATCCTAAATTGAGATTATTTAACTATTTATACCACTAGCGCATAGTTTTGATATTTATGTATCTGCTATTTATCCACTATATTATAATAATCTAAAACTGTGTACGTTTTTCAAATCATCGATTAAAATATAATATAATCATAACGTCATACATTTTTTGTCTCATCCTTCCTATGCGCGTATGTGTCTATATATATTTTTCTGTTTTAAAATCACAAAGATTAAAAAGTAGGTCAGAAATAATAAAAGCGTCACAACAGGAGGAATCGCGAAGATGTACTGTTTTTCAATAATGATTGTATAGTTCTTAGTTAATTCAGTGAAAGTCAACGGAACAAAGAAGAAAGAGAACAACGGGAATTCAAATAAATATGAGAGATTATTTGTTTTTTTTTTTCTTAGCATATGTTGAAGTAAACAAGTTTATTCTGTTCTAAGTTGGAGATGTATTTTCAAATAATTTAAAATACATGGATTTAATTGAAACTTAGAAGCTGACTAGCAAACTATATATTTGATTTTTGTTTTTATGCAATAAAAATATCTTCATTTTTTTCGAGTTCTAATTTGTTGTTACTCATTTAACTGATTATGAAACGAACATTGAGTACGAATAGGCTAACGTAAAAAATGTGTCATTGGTTTTGAACGGCGAAATTTATTTGAAAAAATCAAATAATTAAAAATATCAATCATTACTGAAAACCAACCTAAAATCGATATATAAAATTGAATTTACTTCTAGAAAAATATAAAAAAAATGTATAGATATAAAAATCAAAAATGAGATATTGAATATTTCTTTGAGTATAGAAGTTGAAGTTAAAGCAGAAGTATATAGGTCGATTCAAGATTTAGCGGGGATGTATGAGGTTCAATGCACCGAGGCCTCAATTTCTAATCTAAAATTGAAAATTGTTTGTTTCCTTATTTATTTAGTTTATCGTGCTCCGAATACTTTTTGATTTTATGTTGGTACTTTTAAATTAAATTAATTATTGGTATAAATATATATATATATGTTTAAAATTTTTTTCTTAATAGGCCTCAAATTAGTATTTGCATTCCCATTCTACTTAAATCTGGCACTGATAAAGGAATGTACATTTACAAAATATTATGTAATAAAACGTTAACATTTTACTGTAGTTCAAGTAATTTTAAAAACTAGCACTTTCATTATCGAACAATCATTGTACTTTATAATTTATAAATAAAGAGGAATACAAACAGTATTATATTAAAATACAAATAATACAATTAAGAAGTTTTTGATTAAGTTTAAAATATTTTACTCAGCTATTTTACCGGTTCAATTAGTTTGAAGTAAATATTTGTTCAAAAAAAACATAAATAAATAAATACATAAGATTGATTACTATATCAACACAGATACATTTATGTATATACAAATATATTTGACTAATTTAGTCCCGAATAAAATTTGAAATATAAAATCACTCACTACCATGGTTAGGTTACCACGTACCATAAGTACGTGGTATCAATTGATTAATTAAATACTGATACTCCTGATATTCAAAAATACACTCAATATTTCATTGATATTTCAATTTAATTATTTTTTTTAACACTCATTTAATTGGTATAGACAAACGTATCATCGTCTATCATTTTTCCTTTTATTAATTGACATATAGCATAATGTAAAAATGCACCCATATGATTACAATAAATGTATTATATCGTTGTATAATAAATATTAAAGTACAGCCAAATATTTATCACTAAATATAATAGAATATGAAAATTATTAAATAAATTAGCTTACATAATATACATAGTTAATTTTGTATAAATTAAATTATGATTGTATACACGAATAAATAAAAAAATTATCTGAAATTTAAATATTAAAGCTTACAAGTTATCCTTACGTAATATTATCAAATATATAATATTTATATTTAATAATTATACTATATTTAATTCACAGTTTATTTTTAATATTAACATTATTTACATAACATCGTTGAATTTGTACAGTTCATGGTGAGATAACGTTCAATGTAAATCTTACAACGTCAATGTTTGCATTCTGGTAAAGTAATATCCTGAAACAAAAATAAATAGTTATCTTATTAACATAATAACATTGCAGTAGTAAGATTATGTATAAATTGAGTCAAATATAATTTAAAGGTCAACACTTTAATATTGTCTTGGTGTGCATATTAAAGTAATGTGTAAATCTATTTTTAGTGTTTTGATTTACACGTCATATTGTAATATCACTACAATATTTGACCATAATATATAGCTGAGGAAAAATTATCAAAATCAGTACACTTGTCGATCATTGAAACAACATAGAAATAAAAACCATTGGTATAAATATCAACCATCACTATTAAAAATAATCAATATTATATGAAACTATCATATAATTGGCAGGGCCGGATTTAAACTTTTGGAAAACCGAGGCTAACAATAATTAAAAATGCATGCTTTATATTATAATCAGTTTCTATTATATTCAATGAGTCTTTAAGCATATGTAGAAAATAAATATAATTGATATACATTTTGCTAATGATATTATTTTCAATTAATAAAAAAGTAGTGCATTACCTTTTTTTAACCTTTTCTTTTTTTTTTAACTTGATAATATTTTTCCTTTTTCTTTAAATATTGAAAACGTGTCTCGTTCAGTTTCGATGAAATATTTTAATGATTTAACAGTAACCTTACTACGTCTGAAAGCCTTAGGAGAAGGCGTAGACTGAAGGATTCAGGCATCGGGTAGAGAAAATTAGAAACAAGGATGTATGTGTCGGTATGGTCATAGTGGCTGAGTTATACCGAAGAAAAAAGAAAAAACAGTAGTCCCGACAGTATTAAGATTCAGTTTAGGAGATTGAACAATTTTGTTAGTTACATTAAAACGAACAAAAATTTCATTCTAGAATTTACTGTACATACCTAAAGTTGTATACCACATAGTTGGTTTATAATTATTAAATAAAAACATATTATACGTAGGGTGTCGTTTCATCAAAATAAATACTTTTGAGAGTCAATATGAATTAAATCACATAAATTATATATTCTGAGCGACAGATTTGGACACCATTGCTTTTACAATGATGTATATTATTTTTTTTTATTTTTTTTTTTTTTTATTGTATAGTCTTTCGATTTATAAAGCGTTGTGTTCTTATTCCTTAAACCGTATGGCATGATCTAAACGAGTAACTAATCAATGGTTTACACCGTTGAATTGTTTTTATTTTCGTGTTACATCGAGATAAAACTTAATGGTTGTCGAAGCTTAATTAACTGCAGTAGTACAATCGTTTTAATATTGTGCAGCACCCATACATATACATTATACGTATAAAAATGTATAACGTGTTATATCTGAAATACAATGAGAAAAATTATCTCTGCTCGGAATTTTTTTTGACAATTAATGCTGAGCGTTATCTTACGTGTAACAAACACAATAACACCGCACCTCCGCCAATGCCTGTATTATAATAAAACCCGTAACAGCAGTGCGTCGACCCGTGTCTTACGTAGATCAATGACTTATGAGTATTAATTTATTTCTTGTTTTCGGTAATCATGAAAATAATGTAAGAAGGGTGGAACACACGTGATTCACGAGACCCGCAAATTGGATTTTGTACACGTTTCAATACACACATTCAACATCGCTAACCTCGAGATCCGTCAGTCACCGTTTATGAATTATTTTAATTTCGTTTTGCAAAACTAGGCGTACCAGTATAAATATAAATGTTATATAGATCGAAAGAGAATATACAATATAATATTAACAAAAACCGAAAATAAAAAAAAAATTAAAAATTAAATAAATGAGAAACACAAAATATTTTATAGTAGTAAGAAAAATAAAAACCATTTTGATACATCTAGAATGACCGGAGTAGATAAAATTGATACGAGTTTGGTAGTATATAATTTAAAGTGTATATAGACATGTGCAAAACTTTCCTTGATCGCGAGTATTATAAGAGATAAATAGGACGATTAGGACCTCGAAGTAAATACCTGAAAGTTTGTTGGGTGTGTCTAGGCAACCTGGTTTTACTAGACTTTGATAGCACATATTTAAATGACCTTTACTATTTTTTTCTTTTTTTACTTACGTGGAGTAAGAAACGTAAGTAGTGTATGCGTTATAAAAATGCAGAATTAAGTATGTAATACCGGGTTTTCGAGGGTCACCGCGTATTCATGACAGTGCATGTATCGATCGTTGTCAAAATTGATTTTTTCTCAGCTATAAATATCAATTCAGGAAATGCGTGTATCGCAATACATCTATTCGAGACACCCGGGAGATACGAGTCACAAAACCATTGGAGAATCCGGGGTGTATGATAACTCATTATAAGGTCGTCAGAAAACCACGTTAGAGTTTTGGCATCAGAGCAGCAGCGGAAACAGACAAACGACTGAATATTTATGTTATTTATTCTATCCACAATCATAGTTGGTCGCTTTGTGCGCTACAGTATTCTGCGGATTAATGTATTTCAGTGAATCCAGGGAAAACGTAACGTGTTTTTAATGAATCGTTCACAAACCTTTTAACATTTCATGCAAATGTTGTTCGGTCGCACAGTAGTTGAACTCGGCCGGACGTACGCCTTGGAAGATGGAAATCACACTGGGCTTGACGTTGTAGAACACCAACGGTTGATTTCTCCGGACAAAGTCGTCAATCAAAGACTTGATACCCTGCGCAAAGTAAACATAACAGTTGTAAATTGAGTTTTTCGGCACGGACTGAAGCGATCGCGCAATAGCACAATATCATTGTGCACACGTACCTTGGCCGCGGTGAAGTCGGCTCCTTGTATATGCCGGCAGTCCATCACGACCGGTATCGAACTCAAGCCCTGTTTGAGGCCAGCCTTGGACACCACCGCCCTCACGTATTCCACCGACGGGAAGACCAGACTGCGGTCCGGCGTTATCACCAAATACTCGTAACCGAACTCGCTCTGCGATCATTAGGACACGAGGGTTAATCCGGGGGCATTATATAATGTACAACGATATGCACGAGGCCATATTATAGGCTATGCAGGATCCCATGGGCACCTGAAGCTTAGGGGTCTTTTTAGTAAACTAAAAAAATATGAGTAAAAACATCAAAAGCTTATTTTATTTGATGACTTTTGTGTAGCCGGAATATATGAGTTATTGAATTTAAAGAAAAATCTTTTGAAATAATGGAATGAAAAATAAAATATACCTAATGCAATCGCACACAGTTAAGCGTTCATTATTTATTCGACATTAACATTTTACAATTGATATTTATTTAAATGTTTATGTATATGTTTTTTTCTGCAATTAAAAATTATTTTTTTATAGGCAGTCGTATTAATGCGTTACAGATTAAAATTCAAAGTTGTAATTTCTATTATTCGGGGCCCCCAGCCAGATGGGGGCCCTGGGCACGTGCCCCAAGTGCCCATAGGGTAAACATGGAACTGGATATGCACCTGCAGGGTACATTGATAGCAACAATCGTGGTACCGATTATATTGTTGAACGAACCTGTTGTTTTTCCACGTGCACGCTGGGCCGGGCCAAAGTGTACAGCAGTATAATGACGTTGATGGCTATTCCGACGACGATGCCGATCTCAAGCCGGATCAACAAGGAACAGAGGAACGTTGCGAAAGCCGGTATCAAATCGATTTCTGTAAACGTTTAATTTTTTTTTTTTTTTTAACTTTTAATTTAATTTCGGTAAACCGTTACCGCGATACCGTTTACCGACTATGGCCGGTCATTATAGTAATTTAGTGTCACGTACTTTTCGTTCGCCACATCGGTTTGACGACGTGCAGCTCGACCATAAACACGACGGCGGCTATAATGACAGCAGCCAGAGCCGCTTTAGGTATGTACACGAGATAAGGTGTGAAGAACTGCAAAGCTATGATGACGATTATTCCTGCGGATATGAGAAAGATAATGTTACGTTTTTATATTCGACAAACGTGGTCGCCGTCCGCTGGCGGTTCGCTAATAACGTTACAATAGCGTTGCTGCGGCGGCCGGCGACGATTTATGTATTTCACCTGTGTAAACGCCACCGAACGGTGTCTTCACGCCGCTGGCGTTGTTCACGGCACCTCGCGAAAGAGCCCCCGATATGGGCATGGATCCGACAAAAGACGAAATCAAATTGCAAGCGCCCAAGGCGAGCATCTCCTGCGTGGCGTCAACGGTCTTCCCGTCGGCTGCACATAATAAATAGAACCATAGGTATTTTTTTTTTTTTAACTACGCGATAGTTTCACTTGACGCGCGCAACCGGTAACGTATCGACGGACGACTATAACCAATGCAGTAATGATAATAATAATGATAATAAGATTTATGGTTATAAAATCGCTTAACAATCGTGAACAAGTAGGTTGAGGTAGCTCGTTATCAAACACAACAATGCGTAACAGACTTAAAATAAGAGGTTTGTGTCACCACTATAAACACTAATAATATCGTCGCACGTCGAGTGTTATAACTGTAACTCGTGGCCCGAAATCGTAAATGAACACGTACCGAAAAATTTGGCTAGTGATATGTTTTCTAATATAGACAGGAGTGGCACCACCAAAATCCCTGAACCAAGCTTGGACGCCATGTCGACAAAATTGTATGTCTCGTTTCCGACCCTGCTCTCGAACGGCGGTGCCTTGAAGTCTGGCAGACCGGATTCTACGTGACCTAAACGTCGAAAACATTGCCACAAACCGTTTCCAACAATTATTTAGTACAATATAGTATTAATAATAAAATACTCGAGAGTTTAAACGGCAAATTTCCGTTCTCCTTGTACATGTATCCCAGCACAGCGCAAAACACAACTACTATAATGTTCCTAGCCGTTGAAATGAGCCAAATGATCGAAGAGAGCGTCCGTTGACCAGTGGTTTTTTCTTTATCCTCCACGGGACCGATTTGTATGTCTTTCATTTTCTGAAAAATTTTAATCGATGTTACCAAGAAGTGTTAACGATTCAGGCAATGTATTATGTAAAAACCCAATGAGCATCCCTCCCCCGATTATTGGTTATCAGATATTTGCATTAATGTACATGTAATGATTTAATTCGTTCCTTACACTCATGTTTATGCTCATGTTTATTATTGATATATTTTAAATTCTGAATGAAATGAAGAAGCTATTGGTTTTACCATTACGTGTTTTGTGTAATTTTTTTGTCGCAACATAAAAAAATAATTATTGTAAAAACTTGAAATGTTGAATGAAAATTTATATCACCATTCGCTATAAACGATATAACTTTCAAATTACCTTTTTTTGTATACAAATAATTAAACCATGTATTTGTAGATATTTGAAATTTACATGTTATTTTAGGTTTTTTTTCATAAAATATCTGTGAAATTATTTAGATTTGACAAAATATGTTTTTTACATACCTTTTAGTGGCCAAAGAAAAAAAATTGACCATCGTTTAAAAAAAAAAAAAAAAAAAAAAAATGTGAACGTTTGATTACAAAATGTTGACAAAACTCGACAAAAATCATGAAAATATTTTCAATATTCTTGTAGTTTTAAGATTCATAAAACTTTCAATTTTAAAAAGCTTAGAAATTATATACTATTAAGATTTTTCATAACATTGCAAATTAATTCAAAAGGTTGCCCTTTTTTCAGCTCAAGTTAGAATATTAAAAGTTCAAATTATCTTATAAAGATTTTAGATTCTACTAAAATACCAACCATTTTTATAATTATAAACTGATCCACCAGACCTCATTCACTCATAATGGTTTTTTCGAGAGCAATGGTACATTGGTTTTAAGTTTAATGCGGCAATATAATTTACCCAATCCGACATAAGACTTTCGTTAATTCTATTAACCCTTTAGTTTAACTTAACAATGCGATAATATTGTAACACTGTACACGTTTCTTAAAGGGTTTCGATCCCGTTTTTTATGATGAAATAAAATAACAATTTGACGCCCTATAGTGACACGTTGTTGTTGTCATTATCATCGCTTACCCGCAACAGCAACAAGACGACCATACAGGTGATGCCGAGCGTACCATCGCCAATGCTGATCTCTTTGATGTGTATGACTAGCTGATCCCAAAACCCTATGAACGAACTGGATTTGATGTTGATGCCGAGGAGATCTTTCAACTGAGACGTGGCAATGACGATGGCTGCAGCGGACGTGAAACCGGCCGAGACGGGTCCGGATATGAAATCGATTAAGAATCCTAAAATGCCGCATTATGTTACAATACGTTACAACACGCGAACTACTAATAGCCGGTACACGTGTTGATAGCCGTGGTTCGACGATGCTCGTAAAACATCACAGCGCCCGTTGACGTGAGTTATTCGTATTCGCGTCACAAAAAGTCGTTCGAGTGGATTTTATGAATATACTCGAATTGACGATGACGAAAAACTTTTATTTACCTAGTTGTGCGAATCCCATGATGAGTTGCACGATACCGGTAATGAAACATAATAGGATGGCGAATTCCGGTCCCATATCGTGTATATTTTCGCGAGTCATGATGGCCATTATTGCCGTGGGGCCCAACGCCGGATCTTTGCAACTACCAAAAACAGTGTACACAAAGCATGCCATAAACGACGAATACAGTCCTATCTGAAATCATAATATTAAATGTACGTTAAGTTAAATAAAAATTACACTATTACACACACTCACATTGAGCGACCGGTACAAATAAATTACATTATAATTATTATCTATATTTAATATCGTCTAAATATGATGGATATATTTTTTTTTTTTAAATGAAGCTTAACGTTTCTCAAATGGAAGAAGTCGCCCTTGGAATTTTTATAAGTAATAACAAAATTGTTAAGCTCACCGCTATTATAGTATGTTATAATACACAAGTGCGTTACTGACATAATAACAAATGCAACCTAACCGCAAATAGCTGTCTTTAAAATTATTTCGAACTCCTCACTAAGCATTTCATTTCATCCATATTTGGTCTCTATATATTTAAACGTAAAATACTACAATATTATCATAATATCCGCACCAAATGCACACGTCGTCGTAATAATTTTAGTTCTATAAATATCCGTTTGTAATTAAAATCTTTAACCGGATGCTGATATTGCGATTTTTACGTATACAATAGCACTAACATTTCGTGACGAATGACACCACGTTTTGTTCAAATGACAAACGATCATTTTAATACAACAATAATTGTTGCTTACACGTGTGAAACGAGTTGAACAGTTTTCTTAAAATACGAAAATAATGAAAACATGATAACTCCATGGAAGTTATCTTCTTTCGTACTGTTTCTTGTGATGAATTTAATTATTGTATTAAATGAACGATCGTGGCTTAAGTTATGGTACACTTAACTATTATGAAGTTTCTCGAAGCAATGAAAACTACCATGTTAAATATTGAATAGAAACAAAAATATATGTTCGTTTGTTTTAGTTCAAAATTAAAACTCTCTTAACTTTTGGTATTGTAATTTTTCTTATAATAAAGTATACTATGCAGTAATATGGATATGTTCATAATTTAAAATGTTATCTATATTATATTAACGATTATAAAAACTCCATTTCAATAAATTTTAAATGTGAAAACATTTAATATAGAATACTATTACGCGTTATTTATCCGTAGATACTGGATTGAACAAAATACCTGTTGGATGGATCATTATGATATATTGGGTTTTAATGAAGTAGAAAATAATAATTATTGACGCGTACCAAACAACATTTCGAGTATAGTTTGGGTTTTGAATTTTATTTCTTAATTACCAACATAATTATTAGCTACGAATAATTTTTAAATTAATTTTGTTTTATTTTTCAAACAATTTTCGTAGTTTAACAGTAAATTAAACGTAGTAATGATTCTTAACTCCGATGTATTTTGCGTATTCTTTATCCAAATAAGAACAAAATGATTATAGCGCTTGAATAAATTTTAAAACCCTATAAAGTAAATGCGTATTATGTAAATTAATTGCACTTTAACATCAACGTCTTAAATGTATATATAATATTGAATAATCGAGAGCAAATCGTTAGCATACGGTTATTTTATTGCTCTGGAAATTCCCTTTGGTCGTACAACGAATATACTTAAATGTATTAAAGGAAGATAACAGTGTTATTATCGTGTTATAGTAACCCATACAACTATGTATAACCTTGTATATGTAGGATACAGGAAGGAGTCGAGTCGAAACGATTTTACGTCGCCGTCTTATTTACTTACTGGTCGAAGGACTTGTTGCGAAGAAAAAAAATAACAGTTATAACTATTTGCACGGATATTTTTGCGAACCGCGTATATTATGTCACTCACTTGTGGAGGTAATCCGGCTACGTTGGCGAACGCTATGGCTTGCGGTATAACGGTCAAGCCGACCGTGATGCCGGCCACGAGGTCAGATACGCCGTGGTCTTTGAACGTGTACTTAGGTAACCATTGGAGGATCGGAAGACGTTTGTACAGCACTTTTCTCGTGCAACATCGGTTCACCGAATCTGGATGCGAGGGTAACACGGTCGTATCGTTGTGTAAAACTTTGTCTGGAAAAAAAACGAAAAACAATTTTAGTCTACTTTTTGGCGAATAACACAGTCTAAAACGCGAAAACTGTACAGATTGTGGTGTGTTCACACTAGATGTGTATCGAATATCCAAGATGATTTGCAATCATTCAATGTTATATAATAATAATAATATGCTAGTATCCAGAACTCCGGAAAATAGCGCAACTCGACTTTTTGGTTTGAAAATTGTTGAAATTTAGGTAAATATTTTTGTCAGACACGAGTTACAAAATTTATTCTCTTGGACAAAAAACAATAACGGTGAATTACTATCCCACAAACATAATACCGAACTTGCTATGTTTACTCTTTATTATAACATTATTGTGGCATGAGCCTGTAACTTTTCCGTTCGTTCCGATATAATTAATTCTGTCCGCAAACGGAGACGCAACGGGGACCAAGAAATATTGTGACCAGTTATACTATTTTGCTGACAATCAGCGATTATAGGTATGTTAAGCCGTACACGATGTTTTATGATAATATAATAGATACTGCATCGAATTGTAAAAATAAAATGTTTTGAAAAACTGTTAACACTAATAAATTAGTACGATAAGAAAATTCGAATTTTAACAATACATATTGCAGTAGAAAATCTATAAAATATTATTAATTAAACATTATTTGAAAAAAAATATATATATACTTGAATATTCTTATCGATTCGTTTTCCACATATTAATTTTGTTTTATTTGTTAAAAATATTTTATATTTACTATTAACTGATAACATATTACACAGCCAATTTATACGTATGTACATATTCCATTGAAAATTTCAATTCTTATTTACGATACAAAAAAGGGCACGTCATAACTGATTTAAAGTAGTACATTATATAATGTTATATACATTTGATTTTAATGAATATGCAAAACAAACTTTACAGACACGACATATTATGACATATTATTAAGTTATTTTATCGAAAAGTATCGTTTCGAAATGAATAAAACAAACTGCGTTACACTGTAGAAACGAGTATTGAATGGAGTCAGTATAATGTTTAAGGGAAAACAATCAAATTTTATCATAAATATTTTAATGCTTGATTAAAAATAATAAGTGGGAACAATGAACACTAGTGTTGTTATCATTTCGTTATTTATAACGATGAATCTACATTCTGTACAATCTCCGATGGAAACAGTTGATATGTTTGTCAAAGCTCAATAGGTTATTGTTATTCGAGTTTACCAACTTATATATCATCATCTTTAATATCACATGTTATTTATACAACGGTGTACAGCGTTGACGTAATTATGAGGAAGGAGTGTTCACCATCATTTTTCACTTATACTTTTTACAAGGACTAAAATTCTAAACAATATTATTATTATTACTATTATCTTATTTAGTGAACTGTGGTCAAGAACAAAAATCTCCTATACGCCTATAACATAAATAAAATCCCATTTATCGTAGTCATGGAATATAAGACGGAGGGAAAAAAATTGCACTGTAGAACTCTAACACATTTAATGGACACATCTCTCCTCCCCCACTAGATATTGGTCTTGGTCCTAATCACGTGACATGCAATGCACACCAGTGTATGTCCATGAACATAGAACACACATATAGTATTTATTAAATATTTTAATTTATTTATGAAATTAAAAATCTGAGAAATAAAATATCTTTTTTATACACCAAGTAAGAATCATAAAAAATAAAAACAACAGTATGGTTATCAAAAACATTTTTACTAACATTCTCAATCCTGTTAGTGATTCATTTAAGAGGAAATCATTCAAATGGATGATGTAATAAATTATTTAACTTCCAAACGAGTTTATTTGGGTTTTTTTTGTTTTTATTAAACACTCCACTTATATTGTTTAGATTATAATGGTTATATACTTTCAAGAATTCTTACACTAATTTTCTTGATCAAGACTAACATGTTGTATACTAACACTATTAAGAATTAATTTCAATACTGTTGACTGTTTTGTGAACGAATATGGAAATTAAATAAAAAAATAAATAATACAAAATTGTTTGCAATTTTTTCTCCATATAATTTAATTATTCAGAAAACTGTAGATGAATTCAAAAAATGACTGCCCAAAATACCAACTAAAATCCATTTCATACTCATTAATTTTTATATAGTGATGATCAGAGTAATCTTGGTCGAAAATCTGATCGATATCGTGTGGTAAAATCAATACATTTCTCGTTTTACTCAAAATTTAAAAATTAAATTTTAACACAACTTATTTTAAAACATGAATCGTTATAGGTATAGAAATAATTTAAGTTATCAAAAATAACTATTTACTTATTTCAGGTACTGATATTTTTATAATAATAAATAGTAATATTTTTATTCACTGGTTTGAGTTCGTTCAAATAAGGTGGACGAGCCACTTACTTGAAATTTGATTGTAAAAATTGTAAAAATTGTAAAAATGATTTGCCAAATTTTAAAATTAATTTACTAATTATCGACTATAATTTAGTCCAAAAAATACTATGTGGGTAGGCCAAGTTTATAGATATCACCGATGTGCAATCCCAATGGTGTTTTAAACGTAAAGATAAGAGAAATAGCGCGAGCAAATAAAGAACAACAAACAATATCGAAAAGTTTCACGCGCATTCAAAATCGGTGCAACGTAGGTCACGGTTATTATATTTCGTTCAAGTCCTCAACAATCATTATTTATTAATATTGTTCGCAATTTATGAAGAAGAGAAATTATTTAACATGCTATGTAACTATATTTAAAGTACTCGCTACTATCCCCGGCTCCCTCCACCCGTTCAATATAATAGACATCACCCTAAAACGTCCTTCAACATAATATTATTATTAGCACGTGTTCATCTGCTAACTGGAAACAAGATAACAATAAGGTTCCACCGTGTGATAAATCATTTTTTATCATTTAAATTACCAGTATTATTCTAGTTCAATTCAATTTTGAACAGTTTTAAATGTTCTCTTTCTAACTGTTTGAAAGTAACTATAATATTGTTTTAATATTTCTTTCGGATTTTGAATATTATATTCTAAGTTATTAACTATAAAAACACATTTACATAAATAACTCACGTTTATTATTCAAATTACAAATTGTTTTATGTTTTTTTCCTATCGAATTTTATTTGTTTTACATAACATAACTTTATTAAATTTACAGTCAATTGATTCAAAATTTACATAAATAATATTTAACTAATATTTAACTATGATTAATAATTAAAACTTTAATGACATAAAACGTATTAGCTAGTTATAGTAAACCGTTTAGTATCTTTTAATTCAACACTTATGCGTATCAATAATAAAATAGTGATTTAATCGTTTTAAATACAATTAACTATTAAAGTAGATTTAATATAAGTTGTAATGGTTATGAGTCAGACACTATCATTACAATAATTATCCACAGTATATTATACAATTAGACAACTAATGAATTGAAATAAATTGTACTTTTAATCACTCGGTTCTTTTGTAACCTAAAAATGAAACTAATGGAATAGATTATTATTTTTATCGTTATTGTAAATTAAATGTTTGCAACCTATTACACATTATACATAATATTAAAAAATTATATAAGTAATATAACAGTTTAAATATTTATGTAACGTATAAATTTTAACAAAATAACGTATTCGTTCCACGTACAGTTTATTTGATTATTCGACAATAAAACAATTAAACGTTTATATTGTTTTTCTAGTCCAATACAACGTGCATAAAAAAAGAGATCATAAATAGTTCTGATATTTTCTCTTGTATTTGCAATACAAAATATTTCATACCTATATTTAATTACTTTGAAATTCGACGATATTGTTAATCTTGTAACAGTTTAATATTCCAACTGGGAATTTCAAATGAGTCACTTTTTATTTCTTGTTTATTTATTTATTTTTTTTTTTTTTTTATGGTCTCCGCTGGCTTTCTAACTTCCAAGAAGAAATCGATAGATTTGCTCGAAGCTAATATTATATTATATACATTACATTGAAACAACATTTAATTTACAATGTTTTAAGGTCCGCGCACACTGCCGCGGTGGCGGTAACGATAACGCTAGCCCGCGAACACTGCAACGGTACCGGTAACGGCTTGGCCAATGATACCGCCAACTCTTTCACAACACGGTCGTAGCGATTTTTCAATATTATATAATTTATAATAAAATTAATAAATGGTTTTACTATAATATAATACGTATGTTACGCAATAAAATTGAAAACCGCAAATTGCGTACACCTGTAATTATAGGTACAGTGATGAGTAAAGAGCGGATTTTTAGGTACTTAAAAGCTATATATGATGCTTATATGCTCTAAAAAAACCCTAAAATAATCTCTAAATATTCCTTAAACTTGTAAATATGTAGATAACACGCTATAAATAAACTCTAAAATATTCTCTAAATATTCCTTAAACTTTTAAAAATGCGATAATATGATTTTTTTTTCTTAAATAGTTCTATAAAAACATTAAATTACTGTTACGGGTCATTCCTTTGGTAAAAGATAAATTATTTAAATGGAAAAATGGATAACAGTTCCATACATAAGCATATAGATATAATAATCAAATTTTTTTTGTCCTAGAAAAATCACAACTCGAGAAATTAATAAAATATGTTTTTTCGTGAACAATAATTGAATATATTCAAAAATACGAAAAATAGACTAAATATTCTGTAATCTCCAAAATATGCTAAAATATGCTAAATAAATGTTTTCCTACGAACTCTATGATTGATAAATCGTCAACATTTTTCATCCTCGTAAATCTGCATAAGGCCAATAAAAATATGTAAAAACCTTAAGATCCGCTCTGTAGTGATGACTGATATTTGATACATTTGTGAAAAGTGCAGCAGTAGTAGTAGTAAAAAATTGCATACAACATAGTGCAAATGTGGATTCTCGGGTTTTTAAAGAAAATACCGCATCGCGGTGACGGTGAAAATATGTCCTGCGCAATATTTGGGTTCAACGCGCTGCGATATTTCGTACCTCCACCGTAGTGCACGGCGGACCTATACGCGAAATATTATTTACGATTACAAATCCGATTATCGCTAAATTTATAACACGCTCTTTAGTACGTCCATCCGTCATAATCCCACAACCAGGAGAAGTATAAATTAATGAATGTACATTCGTTGGCGTGCATGAATTACTGTCAAAAACCAACTGTGATTAATGCACAACCGTTAACGTTTAATCGTACGGTGTCTTGTACCTACATAACATGTACCTCGTGGCTCGATAAAATTAGTTCAAAAAAATCTGTGCACACGCTGAATCGCACTATACACAGTGTTACATCGGGACGAGTAAAGAGAGAAAACATTGGAAGATGAAATTTGGTCAGTTACAAAATTTTATTCGATTGTTCTCGGTACGAATCGTTAGAATACATTTGTGTTCGTGTACATGAAAAATGGTCGTTAGTACACCTTTCGAAAATATGTAATATTTTATCGATTGATTATTGCATTCATTTTATTTGACAATTCAAAAACTCATTAAAAATATTTTCGATTAAACATATTTTTAATTCACGTGAACCAATGATTATTTAATTTTTATATCTAACCGTTCTACATCACTTGGGTTATAAAAAAAAAACTCGATTCCCTATTTGTATCGAACATTTGTAAAAGAAAAATGTTTATTAGTCATACTAATTACTTTTTACAATTATTTAATACTGATATATGGATTGGAAATTGCATATCAATAGAATGAGTACGCGAAACCAGAATATTTAGTAAAACAGTTTTTAGCCGATTATGTTATTGCTTAAAATACTTATATGATCAATCAAATCAAATATAAAAAAAATTTCTAGGTGGTGAAAAATATACATTTTTTTAGTCGAAAAAGACAAACAAAATATGAACATAATTTATTCATTTCAGAACTACAAAAAAAAAAGCAAATAAAGTGTATGCTACCTTAATGTTGTTAGTAATAGAAATCTTAAATATTATTTTGAATTTATAAAAAAATACATTTTTATAATCTTGTACATTATAACGTTTAACTATAAATTGACAAACAAATAATCAACAATAATAACGAATAATTAATTTGCATTTAAACACTTATTTGCAATCGAATCGTTTCTATAAATTATTTTCAATTAATTCAATTTGAAAATTACATACAATCATTTAATTTTATAACATCATTATTTACATCATGACGTTCGTGATTCTAATAATCTAATACAATAGAAAGACTATTGTGTATAAATACATTTCTATATCCATTATAATAGTTGTAGCTAATATTATCCTAATTTTATTTTCATACGTATAAATATTTCCATTAGTCAGCTATAATATGTGAACTTCGTAAAATGTTACTTGAATGGATATTAATATCATATTAATCTACTAAAATTTAAACTATTTAGAACTTGATTGCTGGTATATCTGTACTACGTACTTTCGTATAAACCAATCGACCAACGTCTAGAACATTCCAATAACATATCGGTGAAAAAAAATTCTAAGTATGTAATATATCCTTATCATTTCCTACAAATTATAAGTATATTATTCACAAATGATATCGCATACAAATGAAAACTCGAGCATGTTTTAAAAACGCTTCTAGTGTGCGAAATAATTATCTTAATCGTGTTAATTATTTAAATTGAGGATCGATTTTGTTAAGTTTTAATTTCAACCACGTCACAGTTATTTTAATTTTACAGTTTACAATCTATATTTTAAAAATAGAAACAATATTATTGGGCGTAGATTATCTCGAACACGCATTAATACTTGTCTCGGACTTGTCTAATCGTTCATTTTCGAAAACATTTGTGTACATCGTCGGCTATGTATAAAATATTAATTTCTAAAATTACTTTTTAGTTTAGTCCGATGGAGTTATAAACAAATATTTTGCGCGTAATCCACTTTTTTTTAATACTTTTAATTTTTTAAATCATTTATGGATTAATTATAAGGTATCCCTCGAATGTAAAAATACGCACCTAGCTTATTTCTGAACGTAATAACATTCTCCGCGTTCTATTAGCGTGATAATATATTATTAATAAGTACTGTTAATATGTGTACATTTCTGGATAAAATCTAAACATTTTCGCAAGTTACGAAATACCATCATTATGTGTATGTACGTAATAAGTCTCATTTTTACAGATATTCAATGTTAATCTCGTAAAAATATAATATAAAGTTAAGTTTACATATATATGTGGACAAAAATATTATAATTTAGATATAATCATGATTTTAAATATTACAACTAATAAAATGGTTTTATTTATATTAGTTTGATGTAAAAATGTACTTCTAAATCTTCACGTTATTTAAATGTTATACGTCCAAAATAATGTTAAGAGAAATAATATGTTGAGTGAAAAAATAAGAAAGTACTTCGACATACTACTGCAACTTATTCCTGATGACGAATATATAATATGATAATGCAACACACTTATTCCGCTTCTTTTTACGCTAGAATTATACTTAATTTTCACAATATTATGCATTTTAAGTATGTATCTCAATTCTTTCAATAATTTCCAAAAACTATGAACCAATAACTAACCTAACCTAACACGGCTTTACATCTTATTACTCCAAGACCTTTAAAAAGGAATCGAAAAAGTAATATTTCTATATCATAATATGAACTTGATAAAATTAAACTTTGAATTGGTTACAGTTAAACATTGAACAAATTAAAAATTAAACAAAATTGTTCATTAAAAATCGTGTTATTTCCCAATGTTTTTTAAAACTATATTTCATAAAATAATAACATAGTAATTGCACACAAGTATGTTAAAAACAATCGTGTTTCACATTCATTCACATGATATTATAACCCGTTTTACTATGACGTAGGTCAGGGTAGTCCAACCCGCGGCCCTCGGTGCCTTTTTTTTGCCCCCCCCCCCCTCTCGCCACAGTTAAATTAATTATTTATTTTATTAATTAAAAATTAAAGTCACAATAATATTTTAACAAAATCGTGATATGATCGTATAAATTTTACATTTTATATTTATAGTTTATGGCGTTTAGGCTATAAAACGTAGGAACACGACGGGAGTTCCCGTGATGTACGGCGTGAATTTTATTCACAATCGCGAGCATTAAATATTTCTTTAACTAAACCTATTCAGTACGAATCCAGTCGAACCCGTTTATTCGTACACCCGTGCACATAATATAAGATTATAAAATAAAATATAAATCGACAAAATATAACTTTTTTTTCTTCTGGCGGCCCCCGGTGTGTTTAAGAAAGTGTAAATTGGCCCGCGAACCACAAAAGTTTGGACCACCCTGACATAGGTATTCAAATTCATTTTTTAATTATAATGGTATGGACGCTTAAACGACTTAAACGACTAATTTGGTGTTATGGTATCTGCGGTTGTTCTTGTACACGTGAACACGACTAACATCACGCCGAATATTAATTAATTTGTTATTAATTTACTGATGACTTACTCGTATATACCGCGACTGTATTGCAATAATATAATTTTATATACTCACTAGGAACTATGTTGTTTTCGAGATTTTCTCTGTGATAAACCGGTGGTGGATAACTGGATAAGCTGTCCGACGATCCCCATTGAAAAGCGTCGTTCTTGTATCCCGATAGGGTTTCGGAGTCCGTCTTCACGAAGCCTACCAATTTCACGTTCTTGTAATAATCGTCGCTGTTGCTGGTCGACCGATCTCCTTCCATTTTATAGCTCAAATGGTTATTTATTTTGTTCATTTTTGATGTAATACTTGAATAAATTCACCGAGCCAATATAATCCGTTTACAGCCGAGGAACGTCGATCTGATTCTGTACGAAAACATAAACGAAACAGTAAGATATTGTTGTCAGTACGATGTGTTGATACGATGTGATAACCTAAACCGTGACATATATACTTCTCAAAGTAACGTAAAAAATGTACCGTTATTTTATTAAGACTATGTACGATTTCAGTGCAAATGTTAATACCAGCGAGTTTAATCAATTTAAGGACAACATTTTTTTCGACGTAAATAGCTTCAAACAACAACCCAATACGATATAATTTCTTATTATTATTATTATTTCTATAGATTTATAACTCGGTACCACTGTCTAATGTATGTATAAATATCGTACACGTGACTAGTGCATAAATTATCATATTATGAAATACTAAATTATATAAAGTAATATTATATAACAGTTCTAGAACAGTTGAGGCATGCAAAAATGTTTCTCCCTTGATGGAAAAGAAGAAGATAATTTCACAGCATTATAAAAATAATTTAAATAAAATAAAAATTAAAATAAATTTACTCCTGCATTGTATTCATAAACATTTTTTTAAAAACTAAGAGATTTAGTATTTTGTTATTAATTATTGGTAAAATTCTGGTTTGTTGTGATTTGGAATGATACCTATAATATTTTGGCCAGCGATTAACTGAATGGTTAAATGGGATTCAAGCACGGATTAAGAGAGGGTCAAAGGGGGCCATGGCCGCGGGCCCACAACGGATATCAAACAATATTGAGCCCTTAGCGGATAGAAGGTTTTTTCTCGTTTTTTTAACTCTTCTTTTAGATCATATAAAAAACAAGTATAGAACGAGCAATTCACAAGAAAATTTAAATAGTTTTATGGTTTTGTGTTCAGAGAGTGATATTTTTGATGTAATTAATACCGATGATATAATTAAAGGGTATTTTTGTATTTAAAAAAACAAGAAATAAATTTATTAATTACAATATAATTTTCTTTTTTTTTTTTTTAAATATATTATGTCTGGGTCACCAATATTTTAATTATGGTTATGGGCCCTTAAAAATTGTTTGGCACCGGGCCCCAAATTACAATAATCCGGATTTTATAAGGTTCATTGAATCATAATATTATATGACAATATTAGTTATATAGTTTTCATTTACCTTACCCCCACCAATATCCCGATTTTAAATAATTTCATCGCAGTAATAAGCAATTAAAATAATCGTTTTCGGGATAGAAAATATAATAGTGTAGACAGTTAGGGAACCACTGATGTATCATGATCAGGGTTAGGCAAAATACTTAAAAAAAAGTATCATGATACATGCATTTAGTGTATCTAGATACAAGATAAAGATAAACTGTGAATGTAGAAAAGATACAAGATACAAGATACTTGTATCAAAGATACATCGATACATTTATACTTTTATACTTCCAGTTGAATTTTATTAACTTTTAAACGTAAAAAGTTTATACAATACACTATACAGTCCATACTGTACTATATACAGTAGGTACTTATAAATTCATAAATATTAAATAATACAATAAGTTAATACACATTATAAAATATATCACTATAAATTATAGTCTATAATATAGATATAGTCTATAATATTTTGGTCCATAAATACACCAAAATTACATAAAAATTACATCTTCATTATATAGTTAGTTTATATTATATTATAGTTATACATGTGTATAATTGATTATGGATTTATGATTAAAAATAAATATATACGAGTAGATTAGATTGGTTAAGGTCTTATGGATTACGGTTTTAAATTAAATGTTATATTTATCAATAAAATCTTGATTTCCTTTAAGAAAAATTAATTTTTCAAACATTTTTTCTGATGGATTAGATCTACTGGGTGAGTGCACAAAACCGAATTTTTTACCAAATATCTGCTATTGTAGTTATAATTGCTCGTGGTTCAGTTGTAAACAAATTTTTAATCTTTTCAACAATTTTTATAAAATCATCGTTAATTTTCAAATTATCTTACATGGTATAATATTGTGTAGTTAATGTTTTCGTTGTTAATTTCGACTGGAACGCATTTGGACAATTATTTTTCGTAAAAATAAAATCCACGACGAAAATTTTTTTATTTCTTGGTAATATTCAGTACAAATTTTTACAATAATAGTATCTTGTATCTTTTGGGAAAAAAAGATACATGATACTTGATACTTTAAAATTATGTATCATGATACAAAATACAATATACTGTATTTTTGATACTGCCCAACCCTGGTCATAACCTTATCAAAAACATTAATCTGTACAAGATGTACTCTATTCTTGTTCAGACTTTTGCCATTTTTTTCAACAATAAACATTATTAAAGGCGAGATCATTTTCACTATTATTATAACATTTTAAAGTTCATTGTTTAGATTTACACGTTATTTCTAATAAAATAATAATTATCTCATACTGAAAATTGAAGTCAGTACAAGACTGACTTAACTTCCAACACCATTAAAATACGTATTTCAGATATTTAGTGATATTTAGTGGTCCTAAAAAATAACGTCACAAATAAATGTTCTAAAATAATATTTCATCGTATAGGTATTAATTTTTTATTTTTGTAATACTATTTTAATTCTTTGGTGAACATGGATATATGTAGTTTTTCTAGTTTCTTTCATTTTTTCCTGTTTTAATAAGTACCTATGCGAATATAAATTATGAAATACACATACAATTTGTCTCTATAATACAAAACACTGTAAATTACAAGATATTAAATATGCACGTACTATAAATTATGTAAAAAAATCAATGTATGCATATGTAATCAAATTTCAACGTTGACATCCTATTATGATAATTATTGGTGTTAATCGAAAATCGATAAAAATATTAACTAAACGAGTTGATTTGTATTTATTATTAATTATTAATTTGAGTTTATAACTATTTACAAGATACAATATTGTTTTAATTAAATTTAAATCTAAGTAGGTATAAAATGTAAGTATTGTTAATTTTTGTAATTCAAGGAAGTTTTAGTATCACTAAGTAATGTAAAGATATCAATCGTTTAAAAAACATTCCAATTAAAATTCAAATACTTATTTATTATAATCAAAATTTGAATTTCATCCGATTATTGATTTCGTGTACCCATATACATTTACTATATTATGAACTAGTATGTAATTAGTTGAATTATTACGATATTTTAATGTATAAATAAACAATATTGAATAACTCAATATATACTTAGAATTTAAACGTATATCATTAATTTTTAAGTTTTCTAAAGTGTAATCATAATTTCAGTTTTTATCACTAACAAGACGGTCCTTGAACACGAGAACACGAAATAAAATAATAGTAGCCAGTTAGCATATTTTATTATGTTGCTCAACTACTTTTTTATTATCTACATGATATATTTATATATGTTTGATTATTAGATTCACCAAACAACAATTTTTCAAAATAAATTTCAAACAATAAATTTTCCTTATTATTTTTCGTATGCTTAACTTATTCGGTTGGGTACATTTGATTAAAACATTTGATAATAAATGTTATAGAATGTGCTTTATTATACGGTTTTTTTTCTTTCCCCTCTATACCATTCTGTTAAACTAGTATTATTCTTGTTTTATTTTTTCAAACTCAAAAATATTTTCTTTATATAATGTATTACCTTAGTTGTATTGGTAAGTATACTACGTCGTTTGGCAACCAGTATTACAGTCTATCAACTTTACATTTTATTTAATTAAGTTATATCTTGTTAGGTAAATTTTAAAAAATTATAGTAAAAATACTTAATATTCTATTAATTAATGTTAATTAATTTAAATAACTATAAAATTATATAATTATATAATTAAACATGTACGAAAATCTAAAGGTTGATTGACCTAATGAATGTTTTTAAATATTTATGATAAAACATGTATTCAAAATTTTATTCCGTATTGTTTTTTTTTTAAAAAAGCCGTTTGGCAATAAGTAAGCGCCTGAGAAATTATTAAATGAGAATAATATGAGAATAATTGAATACTAAAATGTACATCGGAATCATATGATTATGAAACAATGAATTAATTTAATTTAATTAATAATAAAATTGTACTATCAAAAAATCAAAATGTAAACTAATAAAAATATTACAACTATAGTTTTAAAAAAGATATAACATAAAACTTATGAAATTAAAACGATTTAGTAAATAATAATTTTACTACATGATTCACGACAGGTACAACTTTTAATAAGAAGTTTATTAGTTTTTTGACTTTTAATTAATCGAAACTGAGATTGAACGTTTCATTATTTGACTTAACGCACGCACAAATATTAAGAACAATGATCATTGATTATAAGCGGTCACTGGAGGACAGAAATTTCAAAAATGTATGAATAACCTCGATAAACGTATGCAAATCATATATTCTTATAAATTATAATACATATATGAATTCAAAATACATAATATGGCCCATTTTATAATATATGAATAAAATAAAATATCATAAAAAGACTAAATTAAAAACTAGGGATACAAAATCTTGACATTTATTTGTATCATTTATGCGCCAAATTTGAATAGTAAACAAATGGGTTAATTAGGGTCTTAGTTATATGATACATTTTTATTTCCTTTCTATTTACTCATATATTTTTTAATTAATTTTACTTTTTCTGAATTCGTGAATTAAATAAAAATTGTAAAACTGTATAATGTATTTTACCCCGTTTTATTAGTTCAAACGTATTAATTCTAGAAATCTATCTGAGACATTCAAAATCCAGTTAAAGTTATTATCGAACCAATTATAAATAATAAAATAATAAAAATTTAATTTAAATTAAAAATTAGTAAATTGTTATAACTATTAAAGTAATATAAAAATATATAAATAGTTTATATAAAATCAAATATACAGATAAATAAATAAATACCTAGCATGGATAATTATTATAACTATAAAGTATGACTGGTTTCGAATTAAAAACTTATCGTCAAGTAATTATATACAAATTCAACAAAGTCGTGTTTCTATTTATTTATTAATTTACAAATATTTTTAAAACAGTACTTTATGAATAGTCACGTTGCGCTACGAAGAGTTTTTAAAGGCGTTTTGTGTAGGCAAATTAAGTACATATAATTTTTAAACTTAAGTGAAACAAATGTTTTATTACTTCTATTGGCCTAAAGAAATTTAAATTTAAAATCTTAAGTAGTCTATTTTAAATCACACCAGTTTATGTCACCGGAACAGTTCTTCGACAACTGTTAACATTTGAAACGAACCGTTTGTCATTGAGATAGTGAATATGAATGATGCAAATTATTTTGGTTCAATGGAAAAAACTAACGAGTTATTTCTAAAAAAAAAACCTAATTAACCTTCGAAACCTTTTATCGGCAGTCTAAAGCCAAGTGGATTTAATTCGATTTATAGGTGTGGAATCTCGATAGTCTGACCGCTGTTGGTCGTTTTATAATTTTAGTAAACAATATTGCAATACACATATTGGTCACCAGACTCGATTTGTTTCACTCGCAGAATCACATACCATCATTAAAAAGTGCATTATAGTTATTAATAGGGCTCGGATTTCAATGCAATTGCATCTTTCTTTTGGAATGTCTTATGCGATGCTTTCCAAGCTACAAATTTGTTTCAGGTACTCCGTGTTCTACCCACAAACATATTTTGCATTTTTTGACGTTCTTAATGCATATTTTTATATTTTAGGACATTTTTGACCTGTTTCTTGTATTATATCTAACTTCAGTTAATGTTGAGAGATCATTTTCAGTATATAAAAACTTATTGGCAGACAACCGTCGATCATTAAAATTCCAAAACTTTAAAGAAATGATAATCGTACTGTGCAATTCAAATATGTAATTTAATTTTTAATTCAATTTTTGATTTTAATTTTTTTTTTTTTTTTTGTAGTGTAATGTAAATAAAATTTCATTTTTTACTAATTTTTTAATAATAATTTGAATTTATTTAATAAATGATGCATTTTTTAATATTTTTATGGCATTTTTTTGATATTTTTAAGGCATTTAAATCCGAGCCCTAGTTATTAGTTTAGGGACTATGATTTAACAAGAACCCCGAGTAAGAGAGTAGCAGTAGAAATCACTTGTATGTTTGAACAACATAATACACTAACAGTCTTATTTGTTTATATATATGTATATAAAAAACAGGCATCGTTTCTTTTAGTCACAATCACAATAAAAATAAAATATACAATAATCGTGTTGGAAAAAACTTAAGTTTATAAAATAGATTCAACTCCGTATTAAGTTTTTGAACATCTCCTCTGCGCACAGCTATCTCGGTTGAATACATAAGTGTATAACCGACGAAGTTAATGAATTAAATTCTATTAAACATCAACAACTCACCATGTTTGAAAGTCCTAAAACGCGCGTACTCCGTCCGCGGATGAACCGAATCGCGCACGCTTGTGTGTGCGTGTGCGAACAGAAAGGTAAAACGTGGAAAAAAAGGTAATAACCGAAATAATCGTATATGGTACAACGACGATGAAACCGCGGGCCGGTTAGTCTTTCGGTTCTGACCGATCGCGATACGGTAATATTGCGGTAGTCGTGTGCGGTTGGTGTTGAGGACCCGGTGCGTGTAAACACACTAACATTCAGGCGCGGGTAACGCGCGGCGTATAGGTGCACCGGACGGACAGAGGTGTACGCCGAGACGAGTTGGCGGGGATCTCCGGAGGTGCAGGAGGGGGAAACCGAAGGTCAAGGGACCGCAGGCGCGTATCGCTTCGATGACCGAATGGTATCTGCGACGTGCACGTGAGAAGACGGTTTCGTTTTTTTTTTTTTTTTTTTTTTTCTCAGGTTATTATTGTCCCCTCCCCCCACACAAGCGTTATTAATATGGGATTTTTTTTTTCTCGCTTCTCCTCCGACGACCGGGAATTTCCGCTTTTCGCCTTCTCGTCGACGCGCGCGCGACAAGATCCGTAACGTTTGTAAACACGATCGTGGCGGTAAAAAAAACCCGACCGCTGACGTCACAACAAAAGTGAACATGCCACGGCAAGGTTAAACAGGCACCTCTAGACCTGGACAACGATTACGGTTCAAGTTCAACGTAGTTCATCAATTTGTTTCGAGTAAAAAACGAAAATAATACGACGAAGACGATATACTATTTATCGTTCGGGTATCTTATACGCGCGTCGAACCTACGGATTTGCAGATTCACTTTTTAATATCATTGCCGGTAGCGTTCTGCGAAAAGAAAACCGAAAATTCTCCGTTTGGCTGAAAAATGTTTCATACTTTTTTTTTATTTTTATTTTTACGACCCGTTTTGAATTACCGCCAATTTCATAAACGGATACACATTTCACCGCGAAACGAGTATGTTTTTTTCCTTTAAATTTTATTTCGTACACAACAATATTTTAATTTCAAACAATATTACAATCATCGCGTAACATACATTTAGATGTTAACGCGCAAGGTTATTCGTATTATAATCATTGCGCGTTCGATAGAATATGCTAAATATTTTTATGCGTTATTATTTTATGGACACTTAAAGGCCGAAGAATCGTAATACAATACAGTAAACGATAATGTAGTTCCGGTCCGAGTCGTTTGTCGAGTATTATGATTTTTTTTATTGCTTGCAAATTATTTAAACCAATATAATGTAATATTGCGGTGTGACGAGCCGGGACGAATGCTCAAGACTCCTTCTTGTCTGCTAAAATGAATAACGAATAAATTAATTTAACCAAACTACCAGTAATTTGATTTTGATTTTTCACATTGTTCGTACATTTTTCTTCCGTGCGCTGTAAGCTTTACTATTACTGATGAACAATATATGAATGCACGGACAATTTTAATCATTTAACACCAATAAACGAGAAATACATATCCTTAGTCGGTCGATAATACGTTAATATAATAATAATTTACTGTATGTATTCCGACTATCTTGAACACACAACACATACATGTATAAATTAAATAAACAATAAAAACTGAATTATTTCATTTTCAACATTTCTATTGTAATGCTGAATACGACAAACGTTATCCGATGTCCTACAAATTTCATCTATACTACTTGTAGGTGTTATCAGATTTAATAATAACGTAGAAAAAATTATCGTTCATTAGATTCTAAATTGTTCGAAATACCTTTTTTTTTTTTTGTGTGTATGTTTTTATTTAGAAAAATCATCAATATATTACATATAAGTATAATTACAATAAAAAGACGAGTGGGGTTTACATAAATGGTGCTGAGAACATGAGTTGAAGACGTTATTGAAGACGATAGCGCTTCGGCCAATTCAAAATACCTAACAGTGTTAAATGATTAAAATTATTACACTACAATAATGATTTCGTGTTAACAATTTTTGTTAATAACAACATGGTACACACGTACAAATATTATAAATATTTCAAATAATACAGTTATTTGAAAATTTCGAATGATACTGGATGATATTGATATTGTAAATCTAACAACCACTGTATTGAACTGAAAAACATCACGATTCGATGGCACTCTTCTCTTCCCAAGTGTGTACAACTTTCAAACGGTCTTCGTCGTACACGAATCCCATCAAAATAATTTTAAAAATGTAAAAATCTGTTTACATTTTAAATTTGTCGTATGGTCAATCTTTTTTTCGTAGCATTGAAACATTAGATTCCCTTTGTTCACCCATAATAACTGATACGATTTTCCAACGACCTAACAAGCCAACAGTAGAAAGTATTTATCATTGCGATAACGTCAAATAACTACAATTATTGTAATTACAATATTTTAATTTTAGTATTAGCAAGTACCTAAGAACGTACAAATTATATACGTGTGGATAATAAGTATATAAATAGTTTAATATCAGTAGCGAAATTATTTCTAATCAAATAATTATCGATTTTACAGTTATTATTCACAAAAAATAACCTGAAATTACTAAATAATACGATAAAATGTAAATGCAAATAAAATCTATTCCAAATCATAAATCTATAAATTATATTTGCACTGAATGTAAAAAAATGATTTATTCGTTTATTGAATCTTATCATCTATTGAATTTCTTTTGTAACATATGTAACTTATAATTATTCTAAAGTGATTTTTTTTAAATTTCAACTGTTATTTTAACCTTCAATCAGTGTGCATTCGGAAAAAAACAACTCAATTGTTAATTTAAAAACGTTATAACTTCGGATTAATTGAGTTAAGTACACATATTATAATATCAGAGACATACTGACGAAAGGTTTGTTCACAATTTAATTCTCAAAAATCGTTGATTTAATTTTATCAATAATTTATGAAATTTAACTCACCACTTATGTTATTTAATACATTTAAAAATTATATATATATTTTAACTGTAAAAAATAAATAGTACCTATACGGTTTATAGTGTTTGTTAACAACTACACTATTATGTTTATAACGTTTAAACGTAAAACAAAAATATTATTTATGTTACAGTTTACCATATGATAATTATTGTTGATATTTCATGTTAGATACTTAAATATAAAGCCACCCCTGAAATTCGATCCTCGTCGCCTCCCTATAAGATGATAGAGGTCTATGATATATTTTGCATCGCATGTAATTTATCATCCGGCTTGCCTATCGTTGACTTAAATTATTTTAAATGTATCTTGTTTAAACGCTTTCGTGTTTCTATTCATATCGGCTATTATTCATACGTGTGCGGTCCATTGTATTTATTTTGTATTACGCTTGAGGAAAAACAGAAAAAACATTCACAATAACTTATACCGGCACGTCACCACGTAAGATTATGCGCACGCACTCGTGATTTTAATCGCTATTAAATATTAACGCGGCTGCAACGCTTATACGAACATAATATAATACGTGTAATAACAATATGAATGTTTTAACATAAATAATACAAATGGCTATCTCATTTTGGAATTTATTCGTACGCAAGATATATTCGATTATTTCCGATGTTAAACGAGATGCCGTGTACACATTTCTTGTTCGCACAGCCACCCGGTGGCTATCGGACGTTTTTCAACCCGTCATGGACTCGCGTGCGTTTACACGTAGGACACTTGTACAGAGTCGTTTGATTAAAACCACGTAAAAGTGGTTACGGTATCGGTGCGAGTGCTAATGTTAGCGCCAAGTTTCCGCGCTAGGGTTTCAGAACATAATTTGTTTTTCTAACCTCACAAACAGACGAGATAGTAATAAAAGAAATACCTAGTATTGCAAACGATAAATTCAAATAGAACCCTCCGTATGATAGATGAGAAAAATGTTATTTATATGGAAACGTTCAAGGTTGTTTCGTACGGCCGTGCTTAACGTTAAACTGAATTAACCAAGGACCGGAAAAATAAAAAATAAAATAAAAAACCACTAGCTGAATTACCCGGACTCACCTGTGTGTATTTTTTTTTCGTATTTAGAATGTTATGGACAACATTGTTGAGTGCAAAATAGTTTTTGAGAAATAGCTATCAGTGAGTAAGTGATATTTAGCTTATATATATATAACGAATAACATACATTTTCAAATTAAGTTATATTTCTTGAGTCTTTACACTCCAGCGGCATATTCAGTATTCTCTTGATGGAGTGGCAATAATGTTATACGCACTATTGCACATGTTATGTATATAATTGATTCGCAATAAACGTAAACAAAAAATAATATTTTTCAGACATATAAAACTTCTTTAGACACAAACAACATGTTCGACCAACATATTAGTATCGGCATCACTACAACGTATAATATTTTGGAAAATCAACGAAAATTGTTTTCTTACCTCGTCATGTTCATATATTAATTTGTTCAAAGTTATTCATATAACCTTCACATATAACTTAACCAATCATAAAAACATCACAAAAATACTTGAAAAAAATAAGAAAATACTTTTTTTTATTGAGTTATCGATGAACATCATCAAACCTATACAATATTATACAAATACATTAATACAATTATGATAAATAGAAGTGTAGTATAAATTGCGTTGAAAAATAACGGTACATTAATTGTTATAGATACAATATGATACCTACACTAGTGGTATTAAATATGGTTTTAAAAAAGAGACAGATTGGTATAAATTTACGAACTCTATAGAATTTATTAGGTAAATAATTGGAGAAAATTCGTGAAAAAATACAGATGTATAAAACGAATAATTAAATGAATTACTATTCGATGCTTGAAGGACATGGAAGTATGGAATTATGAAAATAAGAAAAAATTCGATAATGTGTATGTATTTTTGGAAAATAGGAGGTGCGAGTATAATATTTTTTGGTTAAACGAAAAATAGCTTTTGGGTTATAAAAAATATCTTTTAATAATGGCCATTGATCGGTAACTGATCAAAAAATTAGAACTGTAATATTTTTAGATTTGACCGCAGATAACCACAGTTGTATCATAACAATACTTATCGATTTCATATCAATACAAAACGGGATGATCGAAGAAAAAAAAACCGTGGAAGTTTGTCATTTTATGTACATCTATAATTAAATACTCGCAGCACGCCCGATCGCAAGGCCACCTTAAGCCAATATGATATAATAAAGGCATATGAAATAATAATCCGTGTGTAGAATTATGGTTACGATTACAACTG